GTCTGGCTCAGCCAATATAAGCATAACTGTAAGCGGGACAGCGGGATAAAGAGTGTTCGAACTAAAAATCTAGCCACTAGTCTTCTACATGCAGAGACAGTGCGCTTATTGAGAAGAAAACGTTTTACGATTTACTACATGCATTAAGAACGCTCGTTGTCGCTGTTTGTTGCCATGGTTTCAGCATATTATACCATATGTAATCAAATGCAGAAAGAAAATATCCCACTGACAGTAGGGACAGCGTGCGTATTTGCAACTTTTCCCATAGGAAATACAACTGCCGACTTAAGCCATGCTCTTCTATGTCAGCTTTTACATTATATTCGCTCGGATGAATGAGCCCCTCCGCTTCGCTCCGTGTCATTCAACGGAAACGCGTCGCAAGGGGGTTCCCCCCTTGACCCCCAAACGCCCCTGTGGAGCGAGGTTGGATCAATGTTTTGGTATTAAATGCTTATTGTCTGTTTTCATAAACAAAAGCAAGATCACATTGTGCAGTGAGAAGTAGTCTATCATAGAAAGTCATCAAAGTTGGATACTTAACTATCTCCAGCTTAAATGCAACGCGAAACTAAGTGTAGAAAAAGATAATGTAGTGATATTTATAAGAAGGTAAAAGAGGATAGGCGACAAAAAGAATTAGAGAAGAACTTCGTTAAAAACAACGTTTCGGGTGTGTTCTGGCCTTGCTGACCTGCGATTCTTGAGTTCTCAGGATCTAGCATAATTTTGATGGAAGAAGGGGTGTGGACGCGCGACATGGCTACATAAAGTAGACCGTGGGTGGTAAGTAGAGGCCAACAGTGTTAGAACTTTGTCCCTGTGCCTAATTGATAGTCATTATAAATGCCAGGCGAGCAGGGAATTGCGTGCGTTAATATGGAATAGGGGAATGTGTTTGCGAAGGTGTGAGTTTTATGCGAGGGATCAAGACGATGTTGCCAGCATGAGGTCCAGTGGCTATTTCAGTTTCAAGCACATATCGTTGGAAAGAGCGTACAATTCAGCCGTGTCCAATTGCAGAGACCACTTTGGGTGTGCACGCAGGTTCTGCAAAAGCATGACTGGGCAACCGACTTTGAGATATAGCGAGTGTGGTGGGAAATCGGATGTATTCATTGCATTCAGAAGCTCTGGTGGGTATGTGATTTAATATTTCGGATCATCCACTGTATCAGCGCTCTGAAGTTCGTGTACGGTGCCTCGGAAATGGTCGAGTATCAAATCGTTGATTGCTGTAACGTCGACATTCTTTGGAGTCAATATAGAGCCACTGATGAGGTAATCACGATCTACGTGTGGTGCGTTGAGGTTGCCGTAAATGGCTTCTATGAGCTCGTACGTGCTGGCATTCGATCTGGTAGCCGGACTCTGTCATCGGTGTTTGGCACCAACAGCTCAGCACCATCACCAATGCGAAATTAACTTATAGCGCAAACTGGCCAAGCTCATTTGCATAATTGGTGCTGGCAGCTTGTTGAACGCGCATGTTGGTTTCAAGGTGGTGGATGGTGACACTGGGCCAAATTGATGAACGATTTAGGCACTGCTGTACGATTTGCGAGCGCGAGGCATTTGCTATCACAGGAAGGACCTATTATCAGGTTTGATGCAGATACTTTAAATGTAAGTACAGTACTACCGCTTAATAGTAAAAGAATGCAAAGTAGAAGAGAGGATACAATGTTGGATACCTAGCGAAAGTCACCATCAAAGACCATGATCTTTCCACCAAATGGAACATTGGCAAGCGCGGGATCGTCATGTCTCATGAGATCTTGGATACTCCTGTACTGTATACATAGTGTAGTGAATACGTTGATACCTGTATTGAAACTTGTATCCAGCGTGTTTAAAACGATGCCACTTCTCAGATGATGAAGGATTTAAAGCGAGCTTCTGTCGTGTTAATGACGGTTAACCTTTGAGTCTTTCCTCAATGCGATACCCGTCTACTCACATAGTCATACATTCATGTAAAATAAAGTTTCTGATTTGGAGGAGCCACACACCTTGGCGCGTCATAACGTGAGAGAATAATCTGATTGGATAGAATGAACTGGCTCAAATGCCGCGTAGCATGTGTGTTCATCATTACTATATAACCGCGCGGCCACAGCAATCATGCCGCTCTTCTTCCTCTTCGTCAAGTTTTCTAAACCAAAGCTTCAATATGATTGTCATTGGAACGGATTAGAGGATCGAAGAGTGTATGTTTATGGTGGTGTGTGAGAAGAGTGTATGCAACCGGTTGTGAGTATACAGTTATGATCCGTTTATCTCACTTTCTTACTTTTTTGACACAGACCTTCTTCTCGTCTTAACCTGGTCCTTCTCCCCTTCACGTTGGCTCACTCAAAGCACAAATGCAAGTGTAAGTACACTATGGAAAGAGTGACGTGTACTTTGAGGTTTTGCATGTGGATGTGATATACGAAAGAAGATCTGAATTTTGGCGTGTCCAAAGAAGTGTGTGTACAGCATACAGCCGCTAATGTTATCCTCCTTTCTTCTCTGCTACTACAATTGGAGCTCTGACTTTATGATACGGTTGGTTCGGCTTAGTGTTTGAATACCACCCATAAGCACAAGCAACAACTGTAAGTACGGTAGGGAATGAAATGTGAGGATGAGTTGGAGAGAAGTCGAGTGTCTGTTGGAGGTGCTGATGCCATGACGTGTCAGGAATAGTTGCATATTAAGAACAGCCTGCTCATGATCTTTCTTCTTTTCATTCTACTTCAGGTTTCGCTTTATGCTGGTTGGGTTAATTGTGTCCTGCGGACAAATAACAGATAGTAAGTATAAGCAAAAACAGGGGACGTGAACGTTGGTAGGTGAGTAGGATGGCCTGGGTGCTGTAGATGACGTGCCAAGGGTGTGTAGTGTGCGCAGCAGCGTGACGGGAAAGGGTTCCTGACCATGACGTGTGCAGTATAGCAGTCTCTCAAAAAAAAATTTCTTTCTCTCCTCCCCTTTCTTCTCTTATTCTTTTACAGAATTGGTCGTGCCCTTCTTGCTTTTCCTCTCTCTAACTCAAGGCTCTCTTCCTCCAACTCAAGGATGTCATAATCGTAAGTATAGCTGTGCTTGTGTTTGTCTTTGCGGGTTTGAAGAACCAGGAAGATGTCTGCCGTGACATGTCAAAAAGTGTATGCAGCTGCTCATAGATGTTTTCTTTTTTCTAATAGAGGATGGCTCTGCGGTGATCTGTTTGGACTTGGATTGGCTTAGACCCCATCTCTCTCTGTCTATAACTTTGCTGTAAAAGACAAAACAAATGTAAGTCAGCTTGGGATGGAGGAGGATGGTAATGCCGTGTAAAAAGTAAAGATAGCACAGTGGGTGCAGCCCTCTAATGATCTTTTCTTTTTCCAGCTAGAAGAAGTGTTTCTGTTCTGGCTGCGATTCTCTGCTCTACACTGGCTGGGTGCTCGGTTCTCCTGTGTCTCTACTCAGAAGTATGGTAAGTATAGCACGGTAGAATCTTGTGTGTGTGGTTTGACACTTTCCCATTAACTGTTCGTCTCTTTCGTTTCTCGGAATGGCGATAGTGCACAGACACCTCCATGCTAGTCAAGATTGATGCTCCACTGTCATCCCGCTCCTAGAAGCCGACCTGTCAAGTAGTCCATCGGCAGTGGTCAAGATCTATCCATCCATCTAGACGGTGGCGTGTGCTTTTTGCTTTGACTTGGACCTGAGGAAGTCCTTAAAAGCCTCATCTTCTTCTTTGCGTTCTTTATATATTTTATACCCCCCTCCCCTCCTTCCCCTTGCTCTGACCCAGGAAGTCATTAAAAGCGTCTATTGCGTTCTTAATATAGTTTATCCCCCTCCCCTCCCCCTTTGCTTTCTTTTACAGTTCCTAGTAGCCTCTGTCTCGACCCATCTTCGGATGTTGCATCGTTTCACGCGAACGGCTGTTAATTACTCAGGCAGCCTCCGGGCGTAAGTCCTGCTTCATTTTCAAATTCCCCGTGCCCACGGGTCAAAAGTGCGGCCGAGGTCCCCCATGAATTTGGGGAATGCTTTGCGTAAGTACTTGCTTTCTCTCTCTCACTCTCCGTGTGCGGGTGGAATCATCTGGAAAGAGCGGAGGTTCCTTTTTTGGATTTTTCAGCTAACTTTTAAAGATCTTAATAATAAAGAAGAAGATGTGGTACAGTGCATAATGTTCTAAATAAAATCCGGACTATAGTCCTTTACAAAAAAAAACAGTGCATAATGTTCGAGAAGAGCTTATGGTTCATTTTACAGAGAGCGTGGCACATTTATTGACAGATGAAGTATTGCAGTATAAAAGAACATATCAAAAATGTCGCGCAGCGCAGTCGCGGTAGCTCATCTAAAACCTTGTAAATCTTGGCCGGTCAGGAGTTTACTTGTATATCATGCTTCCGTTATCAAGATGAGTAAATGCAAGTTTTTAGAAAAAGGGTACTACCTGAAGTAACATAAAGATTAGACTCACAATGACGAATCCAGGATCTGTGAAACAAGGCAATTTCACTATATAAACTGGCACATCCAGTTTCGCGCTTTTAGCTTCTCTTTCAACAGCATGTACGTCGTTTTCTCAGAAGATTGTCTCGAGCACAATCCACCTTTCGAGTATTCGTGTGGTGAAATCACAGCCTATGGCGGTAAGTGATATAATTCATATATGAGGGCAGCGTTGCAAAAAGTAATAAATCATGCACAAAGTAACATACACCCGGCGAGGTATCAGATTCTCCAGCACGATTGACATCGATAAAAAATGAGATCGACAAGAAACCTGATCAGTTCTATGTTGTCAGTGCCAATGATTACACTTTGACTCCCATATTGAACATTCACCATGACGATTATATTCAGTTCCTGCACAGCATTCACAGTGATTGGGTAGCTGCAAAGCTCGATGGACAAAAGTGTATTACTGCCGAGATTTTCGCTCACAATAGCATTCTGATTGATCCCAGCAAACCAATTGCAAATATGACCTCCAGAGCACGCGTCGGAAAGTACACCTTTGACATGTCGAGGCATACACTCAAAATACTTGGCGCTCGGTCTACGCCGCTGCCCAGGTCACGCTGACGGCAGCACATAAAATGATGCTGCTTGTGGATCAAGATCAAAAAACAGTACCAGCGACATCATCATCAGCAGCAGCAACGTATGCTTTATGCCGACCGCCTGGTCATCATGCAGCATGTCAAGTTGCTGGAGGTATGTGAATGATTTCGATCCTGATATCCTATCATCACTTTGCATGCGCTCACATATATGCATACTTTCGTAGGCTATTGTTTCATCAACAATGTTGCTGTTGCCGCACGCTTTTTGCAGGATTATACTATGGTTGAAATGAATGCCATGTGCAAGCCATTACAATTTGATGGGCGCACATCCATAGTTCCTAGTGGACCTAAACCATCCAACGGCGTTGGAAAGAAAAAGAAAGTTTTAATTGTCGATATTGACTATCACCAGTAAGTTTCGTCGCTGTCCATATTATATACAAATAATACGCGCTCGTGGTGTAGCATATTAGTAATGTGCCTCCATATTATGGCGTGTCATAGTGGAAATGGCACACAAAGTATCTTTTACGACGATCCATCAGTTATGTATACATTTCTTTGCACGGATACCCAGGTTATCCATACTACACCGGCAGCACAGATGAAATAGGTACCGGACCAGGCAAAGGCTATAATATCAACGTAACTCTCGATCAAGATACGACGACGGGCACGACTTATCTAAAGGCTCTAAAAACGGTACTTGGCAAGGACTCATTTGCTAGCGAATTTGGGGCAGATATTGTTATCGTTTCACTCGGGCTCGATACTTGGCACGGGAATGCAGGTGCAGGATTTAAAATATTCACTGACGTGGACACTTACTTTGAAATCGGCCGTCTGTTTCGAACCATCGAAAGCTGCACAGGTCGTGCTGTCCTGTTTGTTCAAGAAGGAGGCACAAAGCTGGACCGATTGGGTTGTCTAGCCACACGATTGTTGGAAGGCTATAATCTGTCGTCATAGTTATGAGGATTATTAGCTCTTGTTTGAGATTGAGTTTATTTATGTTTATACATAAACTGGCTGATTCTATCATGTTGCCACAACACCACGCACAAATATGGGAGGAAAAGATCGATGTGCTTCCCCGACCTCTTTTTTCTTCGCAGACTCTTGGTTGACTACTTTGAAATCCATCCCTCTCCCATTCACGCGTCAAATCACAACCAAATGACAGCTGTAAGTTTTCTTTTCTGTAACTTACTTCGCTTTGCAATTCGACGTGTCACTAAAAGTTTAACAATAGCAAAAGAGACGGAGTCCAAGAACCAGGAGTATGAGCCGTACCCAGACGGTATGATATAACCCAAGCACCATAGAAACAATATGCGCGTTGTGTTCGTGGCTCTAAATCTTGTAGTACTTTTCAAAATGCTAATAGTACGAGAAAGGCGATTCCAAAAAAAGCATTAGCAAGGATGTCAAACCCAAATCCAAACCCGAAGCGGATCCTTTCGAGGCAGCTGCCAAGGTACGCGTTCGTGAACGTTTTTGTTGCTTGGAAGATACCAACAGCTAATACTAACTGACTGCTGCCCAAAATTTTTTCTTGGTCTGATAGAGTATGGAAAGCGCGTTGAACAAATACCGAGCAAGTGAGTGTGTGAAAGATAGCCACGAAATTACAATATTTATCTTTAACTGTTTTCTGTGTTAGTGAATATGCCTGAACTATTTCTGGACAAGCTGACACGTTGGACCAAGGATTTCGACATTGGCATGTTTTTCTATGAGCGCGAGAACTGGTCTAAGGTTGATTTTGACTGTGTCTTGGGTTTCACCAACCCAATCCATAGCAGCCGATGTATACTGGCAGATCAAGATATGGCCGTTGCCGACTTTTGGCGCAAAGTATGCAATAGTAAAAATCGAGCACAATGTCTTTATTCAGCTGATACCGAGTCGTACATATCCATAGAAAACGCGAAAGCAAATCAAGTCCGAGTCATTATTATCGAAACAAAGCAAGGGGCCATATAACATTTTGGAACAGAAATGCAATATCCATAATCTCACTGCAGATGAAATATGCTTGAAAAGAAGCAATTTAAGACCACCGACCAATACAGAGGTGAAACAAGAAAGTGTCGAAGGCTTAAGCAAGGTCGATGATGATATAGCCAAACAAAAAGCGCATGCTCGAGGTAACAACGAAGAATAAGAGACAACTACTACTTCCGATTGTAGAGGAAACGTTGAATGTCATCTGAAGAAGGAGCTCAATCTTTTTCTTTTATGTTTATAATGTTTTTAGCGGCAACGGCATTGATCGCTCTGGATACTGCTAAGATGCTGATCACACAAGAAGGCAAAGCTATTGAAAAATTACCAGAATACTTTAAAGATGCGTCTGCAGTGATTAAATGGGTGCAGGATGTTTGGCAGCACGATCGGCGAGCATGTCAAGCTTCTGCTCAAATGCGCTTCGAGCGAAACATGCACGCGATATATCTTTTCCGGTTAAAATATATCACACAGTTACTTTTCTCTTCTGGCGAATTCGAAAGCTGCGTAGGCGGTGTGTATAACTCTTTTACGTTAAAGCTCAAAAAAAGTGAGGATGTGCATTAACAACAAAAAAAAACTCGTTAGGTGATGATAGCGACCGTGTATATCGATACATCCGAGGGGGACATCGGCTTATTAAGCTGGTGTCTCAACATGGATTTGCTATTCTGCTATTGGTGGATAATATTAATGCGTTCACTCTTGGTCGAGTAAGTCGTCTTTTCACTTCTTGATACAAATCATCCCTTATTGTAGGGCAGTTATTCTAATTATTTTTGCTAGGAACCGGATGAAGAAGTATGGAAGTGTGAAATGGACGGGTTGATGAACGAAACACTATCGGATGCATTTAATCTCGTCAATGCCGAGTTTTTCAAAGGAGAGTATTCGTGGACGGCAATCCCTGCCCTTGAGCAAATTGGCCAATGGCTTTTTCAAGAAAACTTTCTGAATTATACCCCATATCTGTAAAAAAGAAGCATACCCGCCTCTTCGGTTCTCAATGCTCTTTTCTTCCTCATCCCCTTCTTCACCTGTTACCCGCAGCAATACTTTTGTTCAAATGCGTCGTTTTTCAGTATATGACATATCAGTACGTCTTTATTTGCACAAAACGAAAGGGCCGGGGATTGGAAGGGTAGTGATGAAAAGATAATGAAGGTTCGTCTCATTTAAACGGTATTTACCTCCTATGATGGAGCGTCACATAGTAGGTGTTTTGGGTCTTTCTACGCACTACGCACTAATGCGTAAGGATTTATTATCACAATCACCACATGCTTATAATTTCCGGTACACTAAATCGCATTTTCAGTTTACACTTATAAGGAGCGATATGTAAAACCTTCATATGCATTAGGTTTAAGCGACCTCGCGAATCAGACACAAAAGAACTCCGTAATCAATATACAGATAGCTGCGTATGTATATAAATACTGTGATCATTATGTGTTTACTATATCATATGGGTGCATATCATTAATAACCATCGAAACTGTATTCTGTCTTACTTAAAAATAAAAATGTATGATACATTCTAGCTTTTACTGTATAAAAATTGATAAAAGTAGTACATACTTACTGAAGCGATGGGCTGTGATGACCTTTACTGCCAGTAATCATAAATGGTCATTCTCTGATTAAGAGTGTATTCTTCTTTATGCGCTGCTTTTTAGCTGAATTGGTGTTTTTCATCGATAAAACTATAAGGAAAATCGGGAAGAAGAAAACATATAGCAGGGAAGGCTTCTATAAAGAAAAGGTCCTAAGCCTACTAAGAACTGCTTGAATAAGAGAATCTGCCAATTTGGTGTCCCATAACTCTTTGAATAGCTCTATCTATTCCTCATGCATCGATCAAAATCAGTCAAAAAAGCATGTCTTGGCGTATACTACATAGCAGACAACTGCTTTTACAACACGTTATTAGGTATGGAGGCCGGGTAAAGTTTCTGACGGTTTAAGTGAACTGCACCATAAAACCAAGTATGTAAATTATATATCCCTAATCAATGTTGCATTATCTTGCTCGCCGTGATATTCAACGTCGAAAAGAAGAGCAAGACTTCTTAGCTATGCCGAATAGCATCTGAGGCTAAAAAAAGTATAATTTTAAGATATTGCAAAAAAGAAGAAAAGTGCTGAAGTTTACAAAGAATGGTAACGAAAGGCGACAAATCTATCCAGACTCTATGAATGCGTTCTTTGATATTTCTGTTATATATGGTATTGAAAGTGATTATAAGCGATGTATTGTTGATGGGTAAGGTGCGCAGGTATCTTTCTTCAAGCAAATAAGCCCTCGCCAATAAATGTAAACGAAGTAAACAGATCATGTGTGTGGGTGCAATGTAAATGTGTTTTGAATATGTGGTGTATATACATGTGGTTGCAGTTGTGTGTTTGTATGTTATGGGTGTGGTATGGAAAGATAGGGAAACTGGGTTGGTTACTTACTCGAAACAGGGAAAAAGACTTAATCGTCGTCGCCATCACCGCGCAACCGGATCCTGCCTTCCCTACGTGGACCACTCCACCGAGGAACAGCTCGTCCTCGGCCGCGTACATGTTGTGTCCAAGTATACATTCGCACAGTCATCCGATAGGTCCACCGTAGCATATCCGTAATACCCCATCTTGTGTTTGCCTCGAGATAAAGCTCCAAGCTGAGGGATGTCAATCCGATAGCGGCATAAAACATGGCGTGTGGTCCAGCACGTTCATAGATAACGCCACCCATCAGGCTACCAAGTCCTGCACCGACACCAGCATACATTGCAGCCAATAGACCTAGATTTTGCAGTTCTTTAGTTACTACGTCGGGTTATCTCACCCGTCCATAAGTAATATGCGCCTGTTTTACCTTGTGATGTTGCTTGTAAAGATGGAGGGGCAAGCTCATCCGCTTGTACCACACCTGCACCCCACAAAGCCGAGAATGCAACGCCGTTCAACAAATGAAGTCCCAATGCAACATTAGCGCCACTTGGTCCCTTGGGTAGGATGGTATATGAAAATACACGGACGATGGTCAACACATGGCCCAAGATTATTAGACTTTTGATACCGAAAAGTCGAATAAGCTGCAACGAAAAACAGTTAATTGACCCAGTCTTTTTTGCATTATCCGTATATTTGACATTTGAATGTTCTATGTCGATAACTTACATCTCGCGAATAGAAAAAGAAGAGTAACTCAGTAACTGATCCAACCAATCCTGTTAAACCGACGACAGAAGAGCTCGCACCAAGATCTTGCTTTAGGAAAATGAATAGGAAGCTGATCACCATATTCAAAGACGCACCCATCAGCATCATCGTCATAAAAAACAAGAGCACGTGTGGTTGTTTTAGTAGTTCTATTAAGCTTGTCGGCTGTTGCGTAGCATTCGCGACTTCGTCCAAGTTCACACCCGAATAGCGTCGTCTGGACGCAGGTGGGTTGGATAGATTAACTGCCTCAATGATACTCGATTCTGTCGCAAACTGTATCAATCGCTGGATCTCATTTTGCCGTATTTGTGTTGCTTCAAATTCGTCATCGTCGTCATATGTCGAATAGTCGAGCTGGAATTGCTTGATTTTTCGATGCAGTTTACTATCCGTCCGGGTTGGGCCTTCTCCACCGCTGCTGGTGGTGCTACCGTCACTGCTACCAGAATGAGCAGTGCTTGTTGAGCTCGAAGCGAAGGGTACAGGTGCTGCTTTTGTGCGCTTGGGTATTAAAGGATTCACTTGCTGTTGCTGCTGTTGTAAGAACGGTCGTCGGATGAAGGTATCTAGTTTTTCTGTTTTGAATTGGGTGCTACCGGCAACGATGATGAAGCATACTGCTGATATGGCGTACACGTAAAATATGGCGTTCATGTCGTTGGTCCAATCCGTGATAAATCCAACCAGGCAAGACGCCACACCAAATGAAATCGAACCAAACATTCGCTGTCGACCTATACATTTATATCACCATGAAACGTCAGTCCGAGATGCAAACATGTACTCGCATGCGTGTGCAAAATTCCGTCCAACCTGACTCCCCTCTATCCTACCATATTGATCTTTATTACGACCCAATATCTTCAATACGCCACCATCCACTAATGGTCCAACCGGTACACCAAAGAATGCAAAGCAAACGGATGTGATGGTCACCAGAGTCACTGTAAGCTTACTCCGCTCCGTCTCTGGCTCAGCATGCTGTACCGCAACCGATATGCCCATAACACTGACGATCGCCAGTGTCGCTAGAGTATGTACAATGCACATTATATATCGGTGCGTTTTGGTCTTGTCAGCGACTGCCGTCCATAATGGGCAGGCTATGGCCGAAATGAATGGAGCTATAATATATGGTAGGACAAATCAGAGATTCTGCCAAGAACGATCTCGAGTCAAATAGTAGAAGTTTGAATCAATCTTCTTTCTTTACCAATGGCAACAAGTAAGCCAATTTGATCACTCTTCAAGCCGAGTTGCGATGAGTAAAAAAGAGCGAGATATACTGGTGCTGACCCTTGGCATGCAAACAGGAAGGTATACAGTAGCTTTGGAGCAAGGTATGGCATAAGTAACCAAGACGTAAGCGATCGACCAAGCTCTCCGACAACCGGAAGTTTCCTTTTTAAAATGAGCCGCGTGAATAGAAATCCAGCGCGGTCTGCTTCTCTTAACGCAAACTGAACCGCAAACTGATGAGGTTGTGTATGAGCAAGTTGTTTTGAGTGCTTGTAAATGGTTCTTACCAAAATTTGGTAGCACTTCAGAGACTTCAGTTCTGGACATTTTTTGCATACTTTCAAACTCTATAACTGCAGGTGCAGGACCGATTACGCTGCCTGATATATATGTGTGTAGTCAATGATGACGGGTAAAAATCTAGCGGTTGAGCTTGGCGCAAGAAAAAGAGTAATAACTGGTTGTTAAAGCCCTAATAAGTATCTCTTCTACAGTATTTCTCATACTATCCTGAGCTTTACACTGGACGATATGACGAAATATGGGACAAGAAACTAACTAACTGGATTGGAAATGTTGAAGCACGGCGAAGAAGTCAGTGAGTTTCCTTTTTAGCTGGTGCAGTCAGCCAGCCTTCCCTTTTCTTTATTCAGCTATCACTATCACCACCCAAATGTCAGACACGATCGAAACCGACGAGTAAGCGATCGATTCTTTAACGTAACTTTTTCCACCCATACGTACAATTTTACCAAACAACAGCTCGCTTTTAGTGTGATTCGTCTGATCCTACAGTTCTTGCGCGAGAATAATCTGGATCGGACACTCGGAGCGTTACATACTGAATCGTCCGTTACATTCAATACAGTCGACAACAAGGAATCATTCCTACAGGATATTGAACAGGGTCGCTGGGATGTGGTCTTACGTCAAGTTCAGAACATGAAAATTCCACCCAAGTACCTATACGATCTTTATGAACAAGTACGTTAAACGAACGTGGTTACGGTGGTGACGATCGGGAAATCAACAAAGGGGCTCAAATATGCTGATCAAAAGAAAACTTTAACTGTGTGGGTGTAGTAGATGATTACCGAGCTCGTCGAGTTGAATGAACAAAGCACAGCTAAGGTATTACTTCGAAGGTCAGAGCCTATGGCTTCTTTAAGAGAGAACCAAGTGGATCGTTATGCAAAATTGGAAGAGCTAGTGGCGCGACCAAAATTTGACGCAAAGCTTGCATATCCAGATGGCGCAACAAAAGAGGGCAGACGAAAAGCAGCTGCTAAAGGTTGGTGCTTTCAAAATCTATAATCGCTACTTGATGAAGAAGCCGAATATGTAAGAAGAAGCTCATAATACGGTTGATAGGTTTGGGTGATCAGATCACTGTGGTACCGCCATCCCGTTTACTCGCGTTGCTAGGCCAATGCCTCAAGTGGCAGCAACATCAGGGTATCCTGGCACCAGATAATGCATATGACCTGTTCCGTGGTGTAGTCCCTGAACAAAAGGCGGAGGATGACTCTGTGGCGAACCAGCTATACAGCACGATTAAAGTATGAATTAATTTTTATGTACGAGGGCTAACTTGATTGAGTGATTGATCTGATATTTCCGTCTCATTGTTTAGTTCCCTGGCAAAAAAGCCTACGCAGAAACCGCTGTGTTCGCACCGAACGGCCAATATCTTGCCACTGGCACAATTGACGGATTCATTGAAATATGGAATTACGCTACTGGAAAATTGAGAAAGGATTTGAAATATCAAGCAGAGGTAAGAGAAGAGAGTAGAAAGGAAGGCTTAGTTCATTCTATAGAGGACCTTGCTCGATCTTATATTCTTATTAACTTTGACTCATGCTGATCCTATTTGGTGCCAGGATCGATTGATGGCTATGGATAATTCTGTTATTTGCTTAAATTTCAGCCGGGACAGTCAGCTTTTGGTATCAGGGTCCAACGATGGAAAAATAGCTGTAAGTTTTGGTGGTGAGAGGAGAAAGGTTCTACTCACCAAATAAACATGCCACTGATATTTTCCCACGGATTCCAGGTGTGGAAAGTGCAAACTGGAACTTGCCAACGTCGACTTTCCCCGGCACATAGTCAAGGCGTCACTTCTGTATGCTTCAACAAAGATGGATCTCAAGTATTGAGTGGAAGTTATGATCAAACGGTCAAGATCCATGGCTTGCGATCTGGGAAAACATTAAAAGAGTTCCGAGGACATTCATCATTTGTGAATTCAGTCTTGTTTTCCAGCGATAACTCACGAGTATTGAGTGCTAGTAGCGACGGCACTGTAAAGGTAAATCATCTTTACGCTATTAAAGCTCATCTCAGCTGCTTATACCTTGATTTATCGATGTAGGTCTGGGATGCCAAAACAACCAGCTGCCTGCACACTATCACTCCTCAAATAAACGCCGATATCAGTAAGGTACCATCGTCTTCATCTTCATCGTCAACAGCTCCAACTGTCGCGGCCGCTGGTGCCCTTGCAAACCACACGGTGCAGGTCATCGTACCATTGCCCAAGAATATCGATCAAGTACTCGTATGTACAAAAAGCAACACTCTATATATGATGACGATGCGTGGACAGATTGTCAAGACATATTCGCACCAAAAGGAAACCGGATCGGATTTCGTATCAGCAACTGTATCCCCACAGTGCGAACTGGTTTATGGTATCGGTGAGGATTCGGTCTTATACTGTTTCCAGGCAGCTACCGGAAAACTCATCAATGAGACCAAAATTTGCAATTATGAGGCAGTGGGCTTGGTGAGTCACCCACGTGCCAATGTTATTGTATCTCATGATGATCATGGCCATGTATATTTCCTTAAAGCATAATAGCATAATAATGCGTAACTTTTTTTTCAAGTGTACAAACGTCATAAAAGTAAAATGAGTATTCACAACATTCTATGGCCTAACCTGATTGTGAACCACGCGTTATGTAGATGGATTCGCGCTTATTGAATTTTTTGAGCGTTTATTCATCCATGTAAAAACAATGATGTAGTATAGATCTGAAAAGTCTATGTAGTATGGTTTTTGATGATAGCATTCTAGCAGTCCAGTTGCTTTAATTACAGAACCCTGAGTGGTGCATATACTGTGCATACGATTCACGATCCCAGTGTACTAAAGACGGTTGAAGTACATAGCAGCAAAAGCAATAAGAATGACACGCATAATAACTTGTATAGGAAATTGAAACATCACTGAATAGTAGAACAGAAGTATTTTTTGTTGCTGCCACTATTATATCGCTTAACTGGCGATTGTAAGCTATCTATATGATGAGTGCTATGTTTAGGATACTGTATGGCGCCACAACAGGTTTGAGGGCAACACGATACTGTATGATGAACAGGAGAAGATGATCTGGCAAATTCATGATGTATGTATGGTTGATGTTTATTTACTGGCATTATATTAGGGAACAAGACAGTATACTTTCAGATATATTTTCCAAGCTGATTTATTATCGAGCATTCATTCCATAATACATATAAACATGTTTCAAACAGTTTTCTCATTTAATCATCGGTGAGAAAAACAATAGAGGCAACTTCCTTCAGGCAATCTGCAGGTCATTGTGTTTTAATGGTATAGTGAATATAAGATTACATAGCTTATGTTTTTCAAGAACGACAAGACGTTCGTAAATAAGCCATTCGCTCAAGGTTTTGACGATAGATGGTTTTTTTTCCTCAATTCCTTTGTGAGAGAATCAAGAAGCATGCTTCAATTACTTGAGAGAAGGAAAGGCTTTCATAAGACGGTGGCGGATGTAATAGCAGTGCTTACCGTATTATTGTAGACGGCGTGCAACAGTGAAACTTACCAACATTGCTGTGTTTTGTACATCTTGACAAATAAGAGTTGATACTGACTTGCTTTACCATCAGATCGTTTAATACATATGCCACAGAAGAGCTAAAGCAGATACTTTACGAGACAAGTACATATACAAAGTATCTGACAGTGCCAAAACAATCAGGAAACGCTATCAATTTCCTTTAATTAATATACTATTTGGGCAAGCGCGCCAGGCACGAAAACACAACAGCCGTTTCTTTACCTTTTTGAATTTTGTCATTGTCGATTGAGCGTTAAAAATTAATGCCAACTTGTCGTTCTTTAAAGACTATTTTTCATGTTCCCTGATAAATAATAACAGTAGTGATAGATAAGCTATTCGGATTAGAGACATTGGCAATGCATTTCTGTGTTTCTAGATATCCGCCGCAGCAAGCGTCATCGGTTCTTTGTTCCGAAAAAAGAAAAGTTTCAGCGCCAGGAAAAGCAGGTGGCTGCGCGCGCAGGGATGATACCTGTGATAATTATATTTGTGTACTTGCTACATTGTACTATTACCAAAACCTTTCGCTGCAGTTGCTGTTATTGTCTAGTAGGAGGGTCTGTGTGTTTGTTAGGGCAGGCAGGAGAATAAGGCGCGCAACCAGCAAAGTGATCAAACGCACTTCTTGATCAATTTTTTTTTTGGTTTTCGCGCGAAAAGACTTGTTCAGTATTCAATGAGCAGAAAATGATAAACACTGACTGTAAATGCTTTGCTGTTATTGTTGTATGTGCGTGTAGTAGAGAGAAAGAGAGAGGGAGAGAAGGGGTTCGAAACGACAGGAAAGAATGAGGCGCGGCTGCTTATTTTGCTGACGTCAAAATCATATAAAAGGTAACCTTTGCCATAAGCGCGTGGTCTAGTTCCGGTTTCCCTTTTTCTCTTCTCTTTTCCTCGTAACTTTCCCACATTTGCACAACTTTTAAAGTACAAATCATGTCTGTTAAATTGATCAGCTCTGACAACGAAGACTTCACTGTCGACAAGGAAGTCGCTGAGCGATCTGTCTTGATCAAGAACATGCTGGAAGGTAACATTTTACCTTTTCTTTTGTTTGTCATTGACAACCTTATCGTTCTGTATGTGTATGGTTGAATTCGTCATCTAACTCGAAGTACGCTTTTTTTTCTTTTTCATAGATGTTGGCGACAGCGATGCTCCTATTCCTCTTCCCAACGTCACTGCCAAGGTTCTGCGTAAGGTAAAGTGAACTGAATTAAAAAGTAAAGGACAGGTATTGGGTTGGTTGGTGACGGTGATGATGGTTGTTTCACACACATACACTCTTACGCCTACTAAGCACCTGTGATTAACTATTAGGTGATCGAATGGTGTGACCACCACCGCAACGACCCCGTCACTCAGGATGAGCAAGAACGACGTAACACGGATATCGAAGAGTGGGATCAAAAGTATATGGAAGTTGATCAGGAGACCCTGTTCGACATCATCTTGGCTGCAAACTACCTTGATATCAAGCCTCTTTTGGACGTTGGCTGTAAGACTGTTGCCAACATGATCAAGGGCAAGAGTGCCGAAGAGATTCGACGAACCTTCAACATCACCAACGACTTTACCCTCGAGGAAGAGAACCAGATTAGAAAGGAAAACGTAAGCTTTTTCTTGTGTTGGCTAGTGTGTGTGTGTGTGTGTGTGTGTGCACTTGTGTGCTTGGTGTTGCGTCTATACGCGTGCGAGTATCTTTTTTGAACGCTCAACATTGTGTCAACAATTGTTTTTCTTTTTTTGCAGGAATGGGCTGAGGATCGATGAATGACCTGACCTCCAACGATTCGGCTTTCTTTCTTTGTGTGTGTGTGTGTGTGTGTCTCTTTGTTCCCGCCTCTCTCTCTCTCTCTCTCTCTCTTACTTCTTTTCTACGGAATCAGGTTTCTCATAACACACAAACTACAGTCAAAGCCTTTCACCCCCTTTTATTCACTTGCCTCCCATTTGGATGAAACTCTCGAAAAAAGAACCGTGTCCCCTCTGTACATGACAAAAAAAATACATTGAACATACCTTTTTCCTTTTTTTTTTTTACTTATGAATGACCATGATGGGCTCAGCCTCGAATTTGTCGTCCTACACCTTTTGTGTCGATGGCTGCGCACTCGAAAGACAAAAGAACAAACATGGCTGACCAATGGGTAAACTTGAGAGCTTCGGCATAAAAAGAATGAGGATCAGGACTTCTTTAAGCCGTTATTTGACAAACGAGGAAGACAGCATACACGCCGACGGATACAATGGAAGAAGTAAGGAGAAGGGATGACTGGATTATATGCTGAAACGTCATTGCACAGTGCGGTTATTGTGCAAATCAGGTTTTCTTGTTTCCGATAATCCATGATGAAAGCGAACTAAGCAGACGAACTTTCGCAGGATACTGAGTAAACGTACGTACAAGCTTGACATGTCAGATCTTCTCTAAAAGGATAAGGCTGAAGGGAGTGATCCACACAATACAATGTGGTGGACTGTTTGGGGGTTGGGGGTGGGAGATCGAGTAAAGGTGTTGATCGCTTACATATTGGCAAGGTTCCCTTTCCTCGTTAAGCCATCATCCGTACTAATAGCGCTCGATCATGTCTTCCACCTCTCCCCCCCCAAACCACCACTACCACCACCACCACCACCACCCCAAAACCCAGTCTATAACATCTCATCCCTTGCTTCCCTATCAACCCCTTACATTACACACACGATTGTCTAGTATAAATCTGTATTGTCATATTAACCCCCCTCCGATATTCGTCTCCACCCGCACTCGTCCAAAAATAGGACATGTAATATATAAAGAGATTCTTTATTGAATTCATACATGCTACACAAGGCACCGAGACTCTACATAGTAACGCAAGAGAGGAAGTGTCTCTTTGGCTCCGCTTCTTGCTATGTGTATGCCTATCTAGAAGAATACCTGCTGTGTTATGTGATACATATACACGGTAGAGACACACAAAATAGTAAGGAGTTGGGGTGGGGGTGGAGTTGACCATCAAGCGCAATACTAAATGAACCGTGTGAATGCGTGATGTATCGTGTGGATGGTGTGTATGTCGCTACGTATGGACGATGTGAAATACAAGAAGCGATAGGAGACACAGCGTGAATTGGCAGTCGAAAACAGAGCTATCATACTACAGGCCAAAGCAGAAAACGAGGGGAGTCGTACCAAAAGAGCAAACATGATGTATGCAGATCGGTTGAGCTTTTTTGTTTTTTTGCATGTGCGCTTTTGAAGTTTTATTGATTATTGCCATCATTATCACCATCACCACTACTACTACTGCTACTACTACCACAACCGCTACTACTATTAATACTGCACCATCATAAATAATATTAACGATACCACTGCTAACAATCCCTGCTTTCTTTCTTTTATTTTCTTTCTTCTTTTATTTTCCTTGTTGTTTTACTTCTTTCTTTCTTTCTCTCTCTCTCTCTCTCTCTCTCTCTCTCTCTCTCTCTCTCTCTCTCTCTCGCTTTCCTCTCCATTCTCTAAGCCTTACCTTGCCATGCCATGCTCTTCAACTCTTGACCACGAACCACGCTTAATCTCTGTATTCGAAACAACGCTGTCCATACAGCAGGATGTCTTATCCGTGAGTCCAGTACCATAATTCATCACGATAAAAACAAAACAATGTGCTGTGTGTTTGTGTAACTCAACTAAACTCATTTCATGCTGTCTACAGGTCTTCAACGTTGTCATCCAGACGCCCGCTACTGTCGTTTCGCTTGTCCGCTACCCATTCGACTTTGTCGAACTCCATCAAAAGGTACCCTTAGATAGCTTACCAGGCCAATAAGACATGCATGTACTAACAACAACAACAACACCGATAATTGCTGCATATAAACAGATACGCACCCATTACCCCAGATCCAGCAAAATTCCATTTCCCGCATTGTCGACACCTGTCACACACAGCACCATCCACCATCTGCGCAGACGTCGATCCATCAAAAACCTTCTTTCCTTTAGCAAGAAAACCAATGCTGACAAGATCGAAAAGTACTTGCAGCGCTGTTTCGACCACCCCATCGTCTCCATTTCCACCTTGCTGCGTGACTTTCTAAGTGTCCAACGCGAAGAAGATAAGCTCCTGCCGTGCCAGGGTGCCCAGCAGAAATCAAGCGTTGGTTTACAGGACGCCAAATCCGACGTATCCAAAACCCTCAACAGCAAGTCCATGATTTCCATTCTTCATCAAAAGCAGAAACAACACGAAGAAGAGGAAGACGAAGAAGAACATCAGCTGCCACTGAAACGCGCGCCGCCTTCCATGCAAGACTACGAACTACTCAAAGTATTGGGCAAGGGCTGCATGGGCAAAGTCCTGCTGGTCCGTTCCCGAATCGACAAGCAATTGTATGCACTGAAAGCGATTCAAAAAATACACGTCGTTCAGCAAAAGGAAGTGACTCACACACGTGCTGAGCGTGACATTTTGGTCAAGCTGCGACAGGAGCCGTTCTTGGTCAACCTCCACTGTGCTTTCCAAACACAGAAGCAGCTGTTTTTAGTTCTGGACTACTATAGCGGAGGCGATATTGCAACCCAAATGTCAAGATTCACCACCTTCTCCGAAGAGCGCACTCTTTTTTATGCAGCCGAGATCCTCCACGGTCTCTCCACTTTGCATAAGCACGGCATCATTTACAGGTACGAGACTTTACTTTACACATAGCTTCTCCTAGATGAACACTAACATCTTTTTATGAATGATGTGTAGAGATCTGAAGCCGGAAAATGTCTTGATTGGTTGCGACGGTCATATTGTGCTGACGGATTTCGGCTTGTCCAAGGTGTTTGATGCCGACACTGACATGCATATTACGCGCACGTTCTGTGGCACAGCTGAATACTTGGCACCAGAGGTGCTCATGGATGAGCCATACACATTTGTGGTCGACTATTGGAGTTTGGGCACGCTTCTCTATGAGATGCTTGCTGGTGTGGTAAGGCCTTTGTATTTTACTATAGTACCAAAGAGGCCCCAACCACATAAGCTTAACGTTAACCCAACCATATATAATATAGACACCATTCTGGGCAGAAACACACGTAGCAATGTACCGTCGTGTTCTGGATGATCCTCTTGAGTTCCCACCTCATTTTGATTCTGTCACTTGCGACTTTCTCGCCGGCGTAAGTCCTTGCTACTTTACCTTTCATCTAAGATGAAAGAATAATCGGTCCCTGCATTAACCCTGACTATAAAATTTGTATAGCTGCTTGAGAGAGACCCTTGCGAGCGATTAGGATGGGATGGCGTAGAATCTATTCAATCACACCCGTTCTTCGCCGGTGTCGATTGGGAAGACGTTGCCAACCTCAAGTTGACTCCTCCTTATGTTCCAGAACTTGCTAGCGAAACCGATCTGGCGAACTTTGACGAGACCTTTGTCAACATGACGCCGCGTATCAGCCAAATGTCTCAGCAAGAACAGGATGATGAAGACGAGTTGTTTCTGGACACTGAAGATCCATTCGAAGACTTTTCGTTCGATCCTGAGCGCGATCCACCTATGAGCCAAGAACATGCCAACACGCCCCCACCACGACTGTTGCGTCAAAAGTTATTGAGGACGCGTGCACAGCAAAAGAAGCTCGGCAAAAATCGATTTTCGTCATCATCGTCATTACTTTCATTTGCACCCGGCGAAGTGATCCGCCATACAGACACGATGCCGTCGTTCCTGCAGCAACAACAGCGCTATGCACGCAAGCGACATAGCGCTGCATTATCCGCTCAACACATGGACTATCTTTTATCCGCTACCTCGACGCCTTCTTCGGGTGCTGTAACAAAAGATCAACAGCATCATCAGGAAGAGGGACAAGGCGACTATACTGCTATTCAACGAAAACCAACTACAACAGACACATCATCCATGTATTCTTCCATGACAATGTCTTCTGTGCCTGACGATATCGACATTACACGCGACGACAGCGACAACACCAGCGATGACCGATTATTGTGCGGTGCCGTTGGTAATGGACATGCTCCGTCTTCCTCCACGACGAATAACAATAACAGCAATAACAACAAACCCGAGCACAGTCCTTATACTCGTCCCCATTGCCCCGTACCAGGTCAAATACGACCAGATATCTCAATCGCTTCTAATTCCACCGCCACCACACCTATGAACCAGCGCGACTCCATGTGCCTATCCGATCATTTGCATAACAACAGTACTACCAGTAAAAACACTAATAGCACCCATGCTAATAATGACTGGCAACAGCAACAACTTCGACATTCTCATTCATATGTTTCCATGGTCTAATTCTTTTCTTTTTATCTTTCAATACTGCATCAACCAACATTCTACATCTTTTTATACGTATATTACACCTACATAATAATAACAACAACACTAATAATAGCATGACATTCATTCACATAGTATTCACTCAGCAACATATAATCCACACCCTCACTCAACCTTTCATCTCCAAAGAAAAAGTTTATAATAGTAGTACGAGTACTTTTCCTTTCCCTTGTTTTAGACTTCTGTTCACCCTTCTTTTATAACTTGCGTTTGCAAGAGATAATAATAGTTTCTTTGCTTTTATTAATAGTTATATATACAATGCACAGTGACTTTTTGCAGATTTGATGAGTTACTTTTTAATGGATGGAGGATATTTGGAAGCGGAAGGCAATGGGTTTTCATCTAAATATAAAAGATACATTAGCGTTCGAAACAGAGCCTTCAAATTAAAGTTTCTATAAACGCGCATCACCCTTAACTACTGTCAATGAGATCTTACTCCTGGTAGATCTACAAAAACTTACCACTATCATACTCGTCGTCGTCTTCGTCGTCTTCCTCCTCCCAGGTTTCACCTATCAAGACGATATTGTGTGTGGTTTGAAATGCACGTGAGAAATGGGGGAAAACGAGGGGATGCAACAGAACAACAGAAAAGAAAAAAAGAACATTGTCTTTTTCTTATATTTACCTCGAGGTGCACCATCTAGGGGAACTTCGGTTCCTTTGGACATCTTCATGTCTTTCATCAACTTTGACAATTGTTCCTGCTTATGCTTCTCCTCTTTTTCCATCTATTAGGACAATACAACCGTTAATGATCTATCTTTAGAGTTTTACTTTCCTCCTCCTTCCTGCTCTCTTTGACATCACAACACTTGCCTTTTCTCGGATTAATCGCTCGATTTCGGGTTTATATTCACTAAGAGAAAAGAAGAACACATTTAGAGCTTTTTCCATATACTGTTCCCTTTCTTTTGTCGCCTTTCGGAAAATCACACTCACGTTTCATATTCCTCTGCAGCCTCATCAACTGCCTTGAAGAAGTCATCAATGCCATTTCCTGTCACGGCCGAAACGCCAACGACCTTGAGATGGTTATAAAACTCATCCAAGACCAAGCTCATGGAATTCATCAAGCTGCTCATATAGCTGGTATCCTTGCTCAAGGCTTCCTGAAACTTTTCGAAATCCGTCATCCACTCGACCGCAAAATCATGCGACACGACATCCGTCTTGTTAAACACCAAAATAAACGGCAATTTCGTCTTGTAGAGGATCGAGCAAGCGTACAACATGTTGGACATGAACGTGGCCGGTGCAGTCGTACGTGGCGTATCAATAATGTAAGCAACGACCGTTGGATACGTAGCTGCCAATGTGTCTGTAATAATAGCGCCCGAAGCCGACCACGTAAAAATTTCAATCTGTCCAGGCGTGTCCACGACGATATTACTGACCGATTCGGCGCGTTTGCTGACAAGATCGAGAACTTGATCGAATTTGGTGGTGAATAGATTTAGCGACGTCAGAATGGCGCCATTGGGTCCCAAGTTGTATTGTTTCATGACTTGCTTGTAGTTGACAGTGTCGCGAACGTCAATGTTGGCGGTAAACGGTAATGTACCGACAGCAGGATCGAGATTCAATACATAAGGTGGTGTCTTTTCTGCATGCAGGTGTGCTATAATGCGCTGTTGGATTTATACGCGAGGTTTTTTCAAATATTTTTTTTGGTCAGTTGAGATCTTTGTAATCAAGAGCCGAAGCAATGTATATATTAGGCTTTTTTTATCCACTTTACCTGCATAAACGTGGTTTTGCCCGATCCAGCCATGCCAATGCAAAGGATCACTGGTGGCTGCTTTTTGTCAGTGCTCTCTGTGCTCGACGACATTGTACAATGGGATTGTGGTAGAAGCAACGATCAGAACGAGGACGACAACGGTAAAAAAAAAGAGAGCAGCAAATTACGTCGGAGCTTTGCCATAAACTCGTGCCGGATGGCCGAGTCAAAGACAGATCTGTCATTCCTTCTATCATACCAAGGCAGCCGAATATTCATATAGAGACTTTATGTTGAACAAAAGCCTTCTACATTAGACTTCTCGCTAGCCAGCAAGTTTATCAATGACGAAGGTAAACATATCAGATGACGAATAGGCCACAAGTTCGTTGGTATCCTCATGCTCGCCAGCATAAACGCTCACGCCGGACTCGGTAAGTTGACCCAGAAGTAAAAGAAGTCAAGTGTGCGATGAAAAGCAATTACCTCTGTAGTGGCGAAGCAAAGGGACTGTCAGCATACCTTAATTACGGTTTCGACCTCAAGTTTTCTGAAAAGACAAACTACAAAAAGCTCTAATTTATTTATCGATTACCTCGCAAAAATAAGCAAGCAGTCCGAGCGGTTGGTATGCTTATTTTCTACGCGACTCAAAGTACTAATGCTGCCTGCAAGCAGTATGATATGTATGTACATATAATGAAGCCTAGCCATATTTTTTCACAACAAGGTTCTGGGAAGCATCAAGTAATAAGTGGAACGAGACCACCAGTTGGGGACTCTACGAAGTATCGCTTAATGTCCACATCGTCCCAACGGCCAGCAGCACCAGTAGCACCAGCATCCCCAACTGTGCATATGCGCAAGTGCACAAGATGCGATACTTCTACTGCCACAAGTAAACAGTCAAAGAAGGCGAAAACTATTCGCAAAACTCTCCAATCAATAAAAGATCCTAGAAAATATGTTATGCTCTTAAAGCAATTGCCACAACACAGTGATGCCTACACGACACTCAAGAAGTCTTTGAAAGCTGCTAACCATCGCCTTATGCAGCGAGAAAAACTGAAAAGCACTTATTATTTCCTGTTCCAGCTCTTTTCATCCAAACAAGAGATGGTTTAAGAAGAAAAGCACTAGTCGAGCAATAGTACATAGTTTAGCAATTTCGAACTATACATAATGAAAATCTAGCAGGAAAACATCATTTTTTATGGAGGACTTAGTGACCTTGGGTAATTGGTCGCTTCCTTCCGGTACAATAAGGGGGAGAAATTTTACAAATGAAGATACAGCAACTGAAAAAACCCCGGATATTGGGACAATTGTTGTACGTGCAGGTATTGGTCGCATTCTACTAGCGCATTTATACGGCAGTACAGTAGCTGTCGTGAACAGCATCGTTCAACCATGTTTTGATAATTGAAGTTGATAGATACTTCAAATATCATAAGCATAACACTATTGAAGATTGACATGGCCGATATTCGTTTCTCAGCAAAGATCCTTAGAACTGTCAGAGATGGCTTTCCCCGAATAAAGGAAGACAACCAAGTGGAGGTATTATACCCTTGTACACAAGTAAGTATGCTAGATAAAACTTGATTCATAGAAGGTGTGAAATTCACAAGTACGAGTATATAAAGTGATGCACGGATAGGTTTGATGAAATTTACTATGTACCTGGAACTATTATGAGCTTCAATGCAGTTAGTGGTACTGCCTATACTACTGTTGCTTGACAAGTATGGTACATCCGAAAGAAGGTCCGACGCTGCTGGTGCAACATTCATTGTGGCACAGGTTCGTATCACACCAAGAACTTAAAATACGTCTGCTGCTAAGCCTATATTCTTCAACTCTTCTTTATTTTAAAAAACTTTGGTCGATGATAAGCGGCACTATTGACGTTTCTAATATTACGATAAATTGCTAAGGGCATTCTGCTTTTTTTTCTCAAATTTATATACGTATGTACTTTGTGTGATAAACATATATTACCAACTGTAAGTGCAGTACACGAACAAGTTATCCAAACTTTAAAACAATTCAACATTTACTTTTTCTGTTATGGAAAAGGACCAAAATATGTAAAATCAATTATAGACATTGGCTTATACCACGGTAATTTTCTTTTTATTATATCATGATAGTAACGCAATATGTATATGACATACGTCAGTGGTCAAGCATCACTGGTACTCGACGGATCAAGTAAAGCTTTTATCAAATTTCAGGATTCGTTTTTTCGACCAACCTGGCTCGTCCGTGTTTCTGATATGCAGCGGGTGCCTGGAAGAGAAGCTGCCAAGAGCTATTGTGCTCTATCATATCCATGGAGCTACTCTGGTGATATCATACAAGACACTAATGGCAAAAGTACATTTATCGATCGTGGTAAGCACAAGCTGGTGCTAAAGAATTTCCCAAGCAACGGTGGCAACAAAAGTGGCAAAAGACAACAAACAAGCAACCATTCCTGTGTCGACGTTCAATATGTCAAGTTTGAGAGCATTATCCAACAGCTGTGCAAGGATCGCAGAATCGAGTACATATGGTATGATAAGATATGCATCGATCAAGATGACAAAAAAGCCAGGCTAGCCGAGATCAAGCAAATGCATAAAATCTATTCGCACGCGGACTTTACGGTTGCGCTCATACCCGAGATGAAGATTCCTGAAGAGCTGGAAGGTGCAGCAGGGGCGAAAAGGTTGGGTTGGCGCAGTCTCCTCAAATACGAAACCTGCTATTTTTTAGACGAAGGTGAAGAGGAAAATACAGCATACGAACAATGCATGGAAGCCATCCAGAACTCCGAATGGGCAAAGCGCATGTGGACTCTTGAAGAAGCGATGGTGTCTAGAAAGATCGTATGCGTAGGACAAAACGCGCATCTGTGGGTGGGTCGACGACTTGAACTACTGCTTCACCTTTCCGATTCTTCACCAGAAACTGTGTTTCGATTATTTACTTTTTATCGTGGCCACCGCACAGCAAACGTCGCACTACATCATGCTCATCTGCGCACAACCACCAAAGAGCACGACCGCGTATTCGCGCTGGTTAATATGTTCGCCGATGTAATCAAAGTTGATGTCGATTATGACTTGCCAGTGAAAACAGCTATTCTCAATTTTTACGGCAAACTCGCCATGGCGGACCTGACTATTCTGTGCTTTGGAAAACCGGCCGAATATATGCCTTATCACAGCACTGTTCGTCAGCAATACGAGTATCTTCCATCTTGGACCGGGATTCAAGGGACCCATGTCTATACGTACAGCTATCCATTGAAAATGGCACCCGCTGGACAATTCAAGTGTATCACCCAAGGAAGGCAAATGCACCTTCAGTGCGGATATATACGAGTGTTTCCAAAACAGTATTCACAATGGCCATCCCTGGAAAAAAGCCTGCAGTGGTGGGGAGACGCTGGTGGCCTGGATTTCACACATTACTTGACAGAGCTGGACGTCGATACATACCACAAGGGAAAGGATGTGGCAGAGAGCAAGCAAGATACTAGATCCGCTGTTGCCACCAGAAAGCGCAATGTCAGCTCCTTTTTTCGTATCGGTGACAGCGAGGTGAAACTCATGTCATTAACCGAAGATTGCGACGAATGCGTGGTCCTTGATATATCGTTCAGTGGCCTGGGGACTCCAGGAATGTTTTCTAGACCGGGATATACAGAGCGAATATTTCCTGTCATCAAGTATGATCATGATGGGGCGTGGAAATCGATTGGTCTTTTATTTTTAGAAAACCACAAACTTTGGAAAAAAAGGAGAGGATTGTCGAAACTTGCAAAAAATTATGAGCATGGCTCTTTTGTGATTGAATAAATCCACACCTGTTACTAGCAGTGGTCTTGATTGATACTTATTTCATTTTGTGTCTATGTATTATTGTTGTATATACTGGATTTTTCCTCCCAGTTAGCATCGTAGTAAATTCATGCCTTGTTTCTTCAGATTCCTCACCTTTTTCTTCTTTAAAAAAATGCTCTCCAACCTTTCTATACTGTATAGTCATCAATCTTCTTGATTTTTGAGCATGTCTAACTCATTTCCTTATTTCGTGGTGGTGGTGGTGGTGGTGGTTGGCATCATCACTGGTTTAAGGTCTTGGTCAACGATGCTGCCGTTGGTTTTGGTATGTTTGCAAGTGCCCCAGCTTCGCCGGTCGACAGGCCATCAAAGAAATAGCCTTGTAGCACTGCAGTCTGCTCCGTCGATGCTGTATTCGCGCTGATTGCTGCCATTGACAGGCATGCTGCTACTGTTCTTGTTGTTGTTGCTCTTGAGAGGTGTAAAAAAAGGGGCGAAAAACGGAAGTGTGTCGATTTCTAAAGTATTGTGTTTTGCATTGTGGAAACGGGTGGAACCGCTTTGTCACACTGTGCACACAACCGAGAAGGAAGCCAAGTACTGCTAGCAAGAAGAGAAGAGCAAAACGAATAAAGTCAAACAAGAGGAAACGATGCGGTGAAAAAAGGAAGGCAACAACGACATGTGATGAGGACCAGGTAGTACAAAAACCAAGACATAATCCAAGCCCTCCGCAAGGATCAAGAAGCCGGTCAAAACGACGTCGCGTAAGACGGTCAAGATTTGCTATGCAATGTCTTTTACTACATATTACTTTTTATGATCATCATCAGCCTCCCCGCGAGCAGGTATGTTACCACCTTCATTTCTTTTATCGTGATATAACGCTAATTTTCTCTCCGCTAACGCAAATGTCTATTTTAAAAAACAGTACTACAATGGTCTCTATATACATGTCAACGCTACATGTAGGAATTAATCCATAAGCAGTAAATGATTACACATATGATGCATTGCTATCAGACGTTATTGCTTATTAGTGGTTTGCTGAGAAGAGAGTACCGTTGAGAGCAAAAATATACAAGCATCGTAGATGCCAGCTCCACACAAAACGATCCAATGCCTTTTGAGCTGCTAATCCGGAAAGTTGAGAATATACATTATTAAATGTTGTTGATAGCGTAGATCAACAATAATGACAGATCGAAGTTTGACTAAGCTTGGATATGTCTAAAGTAAATCATTACGATTACGTAAATCATCGCATCATCTCTTTTTTACTAGCTTTATCATAGTGCTTTCGGATCGGACAAAGTGAACGGTGCATGTGCATCATAATACAATAGAAAATTTAGTTCTTGTGCGACTTGAATTTCTTTGTTCTCGCGGGAGGCAATTTGTGGCAAAACGGGTAAAAGAAGCCTTTGTTTTTCGCGGCTGTTGTCGATCACTTTCTTTGGTTACGAAACATATATGGTCATGGTATATCATTCAAATGAGCTCTCTAGTCCTACTGTACAGTTTGCTGATGGTGGTTTAGCACCAATACAACGTACTTGGTAGCACATACATAATGATATAGAGCAGCAGCAACAGAGTCTTTTTTTTTCATTTGTTAAAAGGCAGTATATTAGACCAGCGCAGTTTGTTCCATTTGATTTTTGTGTTTCCGCACATATTACATCTAATAAGTTAACAACATCCTCAAGGAGGTTTGTAATATAGTTTTTCTTTTCGTTTTTGGAAAAAAGTAAGGAGGAAATTATTATCGGACGTGTGTACCACATTGTAAAGGAGGTGACAAGGTGTTATGGGAGAGTACCATCATGGGTTAACAGCATTCTTCGAGTACACAACAACAGAGTAAGGCACCCAAACTATTTTGCGTCGAGAACAAATCGAATTGATCGATGCGTTGTTATTTTATAATTAGTAATTCGTTGCTTATTCTCGTATTCATCAACTTGTAAGCTGTGTATTAGCAGCAGACTCACCAGCCCATGCAGCACCCTTTGTCTCCACCTTGTTGCTGTGGTTGCTGCATAACAACAGTTTGAGGAGGAGGTCTGATATAATAAATTCGTCATGAGTATACATGCTGTTCTCGTTGTCGACCAAACTGTTTTTTTTATAGACATTACGTTGGTTGATAATAACCGCCCTGCTGAGGTGGATAGTAGCCGCCTTGCTGAGGAGGAGGAGGAGCGTAATATCCGCCCTGTTGAGGTGGACCGTAGCCTTGTGGAGGATAAGAAGACATTGTTTTTTTTCTATTGAAGAGAAAAGGACGGGAAAGGGCCAAAAAAGACTTGAATAATAAAGAAAAGAGAAAACGGGAATAAAAGAAAGAAGATCACTTTCTACCACCCATCTCCTAAATCCCGGCCTTAATGAGGTGCAGGCCAAGAATAGTTAGCCTATTTTTATATTTGACAAGATGCAGATTTGGGATCGCTTTCATTTCTCTCTTTCTTTTTCTAAGACTTGTCCATCCTCCCTTGATTCGTAACCATTATCTACTCTCATGACACACGCTATCGTAGATCACAGCACTAAGTATCAAGTCCACCCTGCATTCACTGACCAGGCCTATTTATCTCTTTTCTCGATTGCGCTCGCGTGTAATTGGTAGCTTAACAGCGTCAAAAAGATGGTTTAAAAAACCTGTAGATTTACAATGGTAACAACAGCGCATAGCATGATGTGCTGTGTATTAAAGCACTTGTATTACATATAACTGTAGTACCTGGGTAATATGGTGAAAGAAGCGAAATTTCAATCACTGCTATTTATAATGAATCATTTGGCTTACCCATACACAAGCAAGAAGTTGTTATTCTGAGTGATAGTATCACATAGGATGATAGTGGTACTGTAAGTCACATCAATGAATGAGCCATGACGGGCGTAAAACTTAAAGATAAAAGAAGCAGCCGTGTGCAATTGAATGACATAGTCCACGACCTCTTAGAGGCTGATTCAAGCAAATTGAGGAGCATGATATACAAAGTTTGATCGTGGTTTGCCGACTGTTACTAGACCATCCGAGATCTCGTACTACCCCGCTTGTTTTGTCCAACACGAATGTGGTTTAACTTAGCGTGAGTATGCTCATTGCAAGATGGCACTGGCCTCCACTACAGCAAATCAACGTATGGCAGCATAAATTCACTACTTTTAAAGACCAACAGTCGTTTGCGATATAGGTCGCTACAAGTATTGTTATATGCCCATTGTAGTGGTATGCTATATACCCGTACGTACTATCAAATCCTTGCAGTGCGAGATAGCGTAAATAATTCAACGACGTCTTTCTTTACTATCTTGCTTGTGCGGATTAGTCAGAAAGTAATCACTTATGCACATTTGTTTTCATCCACTCAAGCTAATCGTTTGGCTGGTTTCGGTTGCTGCCGTTCATCACACCTTTTCTTTTTAGACATAGCGTATTGTTAGCAGCAAACCATGATACACTTACAGCCAAACCTTAAAATGATCTCGCAGCATTAGAAAATTTGAAATATTCCGGGCCTGTTTGGAAAATGAAACACGAAAAGGCCGTGGCAAGTAGAGTGCCTTCCTATAAAGGAATGGCGGCTTTTCCAGAGCAAGACTCTCGCCCTAAATATCTTTGCGTGAACGTAAAATCCAATCGCCGAAATTCGGTACCTTTTAGGACCTTTTTCACGGACCTTTTCTCTTCAAAAACCCCCGCGCACGGTCTCTATATAAGCATCTATCGCCATGGTAGCATGATTTTTGTTTTCTCTTTTTATTTTCCCTCACTTTTCTCTGCATTATTATCATGTCTCTCGGTCGTACTTGCAGTATGTTTTTCATATACCTCTCTGGTTCTACTGTTCCTGAGGAAAGCATGGAACATACAAACCAAACTCACCCATGAAATTTCTACTACAACTTATTACATCTAGCTTTGAACACTGGCGCCAAGATCCCCACTGTCGGTATGTATAGGAAATCTCAATTTTAAAAGTAGTATAATAGACCAAGCTAGTCTATGTATCTGAAAGCACTCATATATTCCGTTTTCATTTTGAAAGGTTTGGGTACCTGGCTCTCCAAGCCCGATGAGGTCCGTAAGGCTGTCTTGTGCGCTTTGCAGACTGGTAAGTTCCACATTTCAAGATCATGGTTGGAGCTTGTGAGTTTTTATGTGGGCTGATCGCTGTATGCCGTTTTGTATAGGTTACAAGCACTTGGATTGTGCTTACGTCTACGGCAACGAAGATGAGGTTGGTCAAGGTATCCGCCAGTCTGGCGTCAAGCGTGAAGATATCTTCGTCACCTCCAAGGTAGAATAGGATTTTTTTTCCATCATTTGTATCCTTCATACTCACACGTCATCGTATCCTTTTTAAAGTTATGGAACACCCACCACCGTCCCGAGTACGTCAAGTCTGCTGTCAAGGCCTCCTTGTCTGCTCTCGGTCTTGAATACCTTGATCTGTACTTGATTCACTGGCCGGTCAGCTTCACTGTAAGTACCAATAACAGTAGTAATTATAGTAGTCGTAGCGATTAGGTAAGGTATATCGTGTTCTCGGATTTAGCTCATGTAACCTTGAAACGCGAATAATTTCTAGCCTTCTGGCCCACCATCGGAGACGCCGGACGTTCCCAGCAAGGAATACTTGTTCCCACAAAAGTAAGGAGTGTGTGAAGATAAGAGAAGCAGATATTTACACGACTTTTTCCTAACTCAAATATGTACTATATATCCACTATAGGGATGGCAAGGTTGCCCTTGAAGAGGTTGACTTCTTGGAAACCTGGAAGGCCATGGAAGCCCTTGTTGATGAAGGTCTTGTCAAGGCTATCGGTGTTTCCAACTTTGATATCCCCAAGCTTGAATATGTTTTGAAGGGTTGCCGCATCCGACCTTCTGCTAACCAGGTCGAGCTCCACCCTGGCTTGCTCCAGCGCGACCTCCTTGAATTCTGTGCCAAGGAGAACATTCACATCACCGCCTACTCGCCGTTGGGCAACAACATCTACGGCAAGGAGCGTATTGTCGATAGCCCAGTCGTAAGTTTTCGTATTTTTCTTTTGTGGGATTTACATACAGTTTGGGCGGTGTTAAAAAGAGTAAGTTTGTATGTGTGTGTGTGGGCATTATGTCTAACCTTATATACGGTGTGTCTGGCGTCATTAGATTGTCGATATCGCAAAGAAGTTGAACAAGTCCCCTGCTCAGATCTGCATTGCTTTTGCTGCTCAACGTGGTGTTTCCGTCATCCCCAAGTCGGTCACTCCATCGCGTATTGCCGATAACTTCCAGGACTTTGTCTTGGAGAAGGAGGACTTTGATGCTGTTGCTACCCTTGGCGAGCGCAACATCCGTTACAATGACCCTGGTGTTGAAGAATGGTTCTGCAAGATTTTCTAATTTTCCTGTATATTTTTATTTATTTGTAATATAATAAAAAAAAGACGGATATTCGTATCGTCGTTTTGTTGCAACTTGTAAAAACACGTATTGCTTTGGTTGTAGTACATACTTCATCTGTTGCACCTGTGTGTATGCCATCTACGATGGGAAGCATCGTCGGATGATTCCAGGATAGCTTATAGATAAAGAAGCCGATGTATTGCAACTGAAGAGCTCGTGGCGGCGATAATTCAAACACTCGGCGTTTTGGGTCTATGTGAAAGGGGGTATAGACGCGATCAGTCGCGACTCGAATTGGAAACCAATTCGTGACACGCGCCATGCGTTGCCTTTCGCTCTCTTATTCCTTTTCTTTTTAACTTCTTGCTCAATGGGGCGATCCAAAACACAAACACAGTGCGGTAATCCACTATGGCGCGACTGGATTAAAGAATGGGCGGAAGAAATACGGCAATCGAAAGCATATTATACATACATCAAGGTATAAACCACACATATAGAGAGGGTACCCAAACTCAACTGTTCTGCTAGCAATCATGTAAGGTGATCATTCTCTCTCTCACACGCGCAATCTTGTATAATATCCTTTCTAGGCACACAATGCGTTGGCTAATTGTCAAACGGTTTTCACGCATCCTTCAGAAACTATCCAGTTAAAGGGAATTGGTGAAGGTCTTGCTGGACGATTGGAACGTCGACTACAAAAGTATTGCGAAGAAAATGGGCTACCAATGCCTGAACGACCAAGCAAGTCAGGTGCGGGTCGTCTAGCAATATTACCTTTTAGGCTATTCTATGGAAGAACTTAAATTCAACTAATACGCGCAATTAGGAACGCGGAAAAGTAACAATGGCGACACTGCAGGAGACGACGGCTCGAATGCCTCACAACAACGAAAGAAGCAGCGTTCCTCAGGAACCAGCTCTCGCGCATATGTTCCTCGGTATCGTACTGGAGGATACGCCATCATGTTATCACTGCTAGAACATCGCGAGCGCAATGACCAGAAGAACGTATCAAGGGAACAGATCATTCGCCTTGCCGAAGACCATTGTGATTCTTCCTTTGATTTGCCAGAACCAGGCAAAAGCTATACGGCATGGAGCGGCATTAAAACATTGATGACCAAGGATTATGTATGGAAGCATGGTAGTCCTGCAACTTATACCTTGACCGACACCGGTCTATCGATGGCAAAAGAACTAAAGTCTGCAGCAGAAAATGGTGGTCGGATGCCACGATCAACGCAAGCGTCATCATCCACATCATCTCAAAATAAGGGAAAACAGCGAGATCGAGGACGGATGCGACAAGTGGAACCCGAGGACGAAAGTAGCGATAATGGCGGAGAAGAAGAAGTAGACTTGAGCTTATACGTGATGGATCCGGACAAGTACAGAGCGTCGATGGCCAACAGCGTTACTCAACAACAATCATCACAACAACATCAAAGAAATGATTGTGAGGGTCACAGTGATGGTGGTGGAGAAAAAGAGGTCGACTTGAGCCTATACGTGATGGATCCCGACAACTACAGAGCATCAATGGCCAGCAGCTCTACTGGGCAACAGTCATCCCAGCAACAGCAAAGAGATAGTCGTGCTAGTCGCAGCGATCGGAATGATGTGCGTGATATAAGCAGGAAATACGAAGACAACGAGGGAGAGGAAGAGCCGGTGGATCTCAGTCTCTATGTTACTGATAAGGTCAAGTTTCGAGCGGAAATGGCAAGTTCAGCACCACCAGTATCAACATGGCAAGATACATCTACCCAGATCAGTTTATTAGACGATGACGACGACGGCATCGATCTCTTTAGTCGATCCAAAGCAGTAGGCAACGAAGTATTCTCAAGATACCAATCGCCGTCACAAAGCCCAGCGACAAATTCATTACCGTTAAGTTACCAACTTCAAAACTTGAACAACGACGACATCATTGCACTTGACTCGCCCTCTCCTCAAGAACTACCACCTTCGCCCTTACGCACATCCTCCCAAGCTTTCTTATCCTCCTTTCCCGATCCTGACGATATTTCTATACCCGAATCCGAGCTAGGAAGCCAATCTGCTTCTTTTCTATACACTTTTCTGGATCAATCAAACAAATATGTCAGACATATATCACAGGCTGCTGTGGAAATTCGAGGTATAACTCATACAAGGCTAGGCAAAATCAGCCGGCTTCTTTAAACGTTTTTTGACAGTTCCTCATATATGAACAATTTAGGTAGTCGGGCACTGTACAAGATACGCTTTTCAGCGTCTCAACTTTCACATCCTCAAACGGATAAAATACACGACACTCAAATTGATACCGACAGTAATACGTACACCGGCTACATTGCAGAGATCGATTGCGATACTCTATGTCCTGGTCTCTCTGGTGAACCTCTGATTCCACTCAACCGAGAGGAGGAGGATGATTTCTGGCCGTCGCTGTTGAATGCGCCAGAGACTGGATCGGCAGCAGCAACACCACAGGATAGCCAGAATATCATGGATAGCCAAAGTATCATGGATAGCCAACTATCGATTCCAGCAAGTCAAATAGAATTTGAAGAATACCCTCCAGATAGTTACGACATTGTTCTGGTGCTGGATACACGAGAAATTAAAATGAGGACCAACCGCGACTTTTTCCTCCAACAGTTGACGGAAAAAGGCATACGTGTCGTCAAGCGAGCCCTTGAACTTGGCGACATGTTGTGGATCGCACAGAAGAAGGGCAGTAGGAGTTCAAGGGACGAACTGTTCCTAGACTTTGTGGTGGAACGGAAACGGTTGGATGATTTGGTTGCAAGTATTAAGGATGGCCGCTTTAATGAACAAAAGGTATGTTCCAAACATGCTTAAACAGACAATGATCTTCTTCTTCTTCTTCTTCGGTTTATGTGCAGGGGCATATATCTAGGCTCACCTATGTGTTTAGTATCGATTGAAACGATCGGGTGCCGAGAAAGTGTTCTATATTATCGAAGAATACAGCAAGGAGGACGCCATGAACTTTAATGCACAGGCGATTCAAACAGCCATGTCATCTACGCAGGTAGTGGACAAGTTCTTCCTCAAACGCACAGCAACCATCAACGATACTATCGACTACCTTGTTACTATGACCAAGATGATTGAACAAATCTTCCATGTAAGTTCTCCTCTTTGCCAAAAAAAAAAAACGAAACCTCTCCCGCTTCCCCTTCCTTATGACTTTACTCTAAAAAAAATCCTCCTTGTGTGCCCTATCAAATATACACGTGCAAAAATCTATAAACTAAGCACCCGTTGTTGTACTACAGAATGTTACACTCTACCGGATTCCTGATCATACCATCACTCGTATAAACTACCTGGAACAAAAGAACCGATTGGGCAAACATCACCACATAACATATCCCTTGTACAGCGAACTCAACAGCAAGAATGATACGCTTACACTCAAAGACCTTTATTTACGTATGCTCATGACTATCCGCGGTGTAAGTGCGGAAAAGGCATCTGCGCTCACCAAGATATACCCTACACCCTGTCATCTACTCCGAGCCTATGAAATGAAATCAGAAGACGAGGGGAAGGCTTTGGCACGGGAAGCAACCAAGGATGCCATTAGTAGACGAAGATGGGGACAGCAACTTAGTGAAAAGCTATGGGAAGTATGGGGTCAAGGCTATAGATTATGACATACTAATTATTAAAATTAAAAAGGAAGAAAGAAAAGAAGAAGAGAGGAAAACGTTGCATTATTTGGACGACCAAAGGAAAGCAAACATACGGTGATGTTTACTATAGGAACGTGGAGGCAACGCGGGAGCCGACGACCGTCTTTGCTCAGATGGTTCAGGGGTGACAGGCTTGAGAGTACATGAGCGCCGCGACTTTAGCGCGAACTCGTCTGTGCTGCAGCCATTCGTATCGGCGGGTGGGCTAATGTCGGTCGAGTATTGCAATGGTTTGGGTGGATAGTGGCAAATGTTGCCGAATATTGTGCTGCTGGGAGAAGAGCTTTGGGTTACGCTGGTTGGGGTCGTTGCGCTCCATGGGGAGATGGCTTTGGGGAGGGCTAAGGACTCTTGCTGTTGTTGTTCATCTTGTTCTTTGGCTGTAGTGAACAAGCGACTCAGACTTTTCATCTTCTTGGGTGACCGGAAGAAGCGAGAGCGACTCGGCCGTAGTTCTCGTTCGGGCACAACTACAGTTAGTTTGGGTCCGCTGCGTTCTTTTTCTTCTTGTTCGTTCTGCTGGTGTTGCTGCTGTTGTTGTTGTTGCATTTGTGACTCTTCTGCTTGCTGTACTTCCTGCTGCTGTCGACTATCTCCATGAGCAGAAGAAGATGGAACATCCTGCTCTTGGGTGGCCGCGTCAATTACAGCTTGCGACGAAGGCGTTGGAGAGGATGCTACTGATTCTGAATTCTTTTCAGTTTCAGCCAGTGACGATGTATGATCGTGCTGTTCTTGCTTTGGCTGCGGTAAAGGTGCTGAAGGAGGTTCTTCTTCGTTGAGTGCGTTGCGGATAGCCTTTGTCTTGTGGTCGAATTGACGGATCAAGTCTTCTGAAAAAGAGTCACTAAACGACGCATCAAAAGATGACAGATGATCATGTGGACTCATTATAGATTGATCTACGATAGGCAAGGGCAGGCAAGGAAGCGGCAATGACAGACAGGGGAGTTCAGCTCAAAAAAAGAGAGAGAGAGAGAGGAAAAGAGAGAAATGTACGAAAAGTGAAAGGAAGATAGCTCAAGTGGCATCTTTATTAGTTGCAAAGGGGAGTTTTATATAAGTTGTAGAGTTTCTCACTCCCTCGAAAACTAGGAGAGAGGGAGGCAAAAGGTTGGCTTGGGATGAATGTGTAAAAGTGCAAGGAAAAAAAATATGTAAGTGAATGAGGTTGTGATAGGAGACCGCAACCCAAACCACAAGCAGCCAGAGCAGAGAACAGGCTCATGTTTTGCGCTTGCGATACTTTTGGGAAGAAGACCGAGTGGAGAAGGTGGCAAGGCTCTATGCAGACTTCTTTTTCTTCTGGATCATAATTTGGATGCCATGAACCAGCAACAAGAAGTTTTCTACTAGCCCATATCGCGTAATGAACATCAAAAGCAATGCGCTAAAGTACATAATCCCTCGATACCATGGGCCCGATGCGATCAAAAACGTCACTGTGAACATGGTATTAGCATCATGTATTCTCCCAAATAGTAGTAGTAAAAAAAGACATTTCCTGAGTGAAAGACTCACATGCGGGGGGCACCAGCGCATAATTAAGATTAAAACCAGATAATAGAGATGAGAGATGCAAGACCGGGCTGTGATAAGCAGCGTACAGGAAGAAGCTAAAGAGTGCCATGTCAAGCGATAGGGGCATCACCACGTAACGACGACTTAACACCATGTAGAATGGCAGGACCAAGACCAGGACATGCTCTATTTTATGCGCACAATGTTTGTTTCTTTGTTTGTTACTCTGAGCCTTGACAAAGCCTCTACCACTATCCATCCGCACTCCATCATGCACTCAGTTTCACCTACCCATAAAGAAGTTGAAGACCTCGCCCAACATTTCATGATCTCGAAGATCAGGCCAGATCAGAGCCAGAATGGCTCCCCAGAGGGTATGCAAGTAGATATTGAATAAGACTCGAGGGATGATCGGGTACTTGTGATCAGGCCAGCTCATCACAAGAATTAAAAGTCCAGCACTGACATGACATGGCTGTTTTCGAAATCATATAGACGACGACGACGACGAGAAGAGGGCTGATGTTAGTTAAGGTCCCATGACGGTATATAATCTTCTCTTGATTTTTCCCAGTAAGCAAACTATCAAAAATTTAATCATACCGCACCTGCATAAGAAACATCAAGGTACCCGTTACTGCCTTGTGTGCGACAGTCGTGCTAAAAGAGGCAATCAACAAAACAAGACATAAAGTTTCCAGGAGGGGTCGAGGTGGCAATTTCTCGGTCGATGTCAGCAGACGGTAAGCGGGCGTGCTGTTTTTTGTTTATGTTAGATACCAAAAATTCACATTATCCAGACGTGAGTATTCAAGTCATACGCCCAGTGAGAAATCCAAAGAGACATACCTCTTGTTGAATGCCCTCCACCCAAAATAAGCCGCAAACCCCAAATACATTGGTGCTAGTGTTAAGAACTCGATAGCGTGTTGTGTCGGCGAGATATACCTAAGATCAACTGGCGTTGAATTTCATGTAGGAAAGAAGACCTCTGGAACGTGAAAGAAGGGTTGTCTCACCATGAGCCTCCTAAAGAATCCGCAAAGTCGGTCTCGCTTCCTGGTGCCAGATCAACCGCATAATGCTTCACATAGGCACCCAGGGTATGTAGTATTTCGCTCGTCATGTAATACTGTGTATTTTCTGTAGTAAGCAAGTGTCGCGTAGTCGATATATATGATGCGTGGTCGAGTATCTATGGCGAGTAGGGGGGAAGGGTTCCTGCCCACGTCCTGCTGAAATATAAAAAAATTAAAAAGGTAGTGTGGAGGAGAAAAAAGAAGAAAGAGGTGTGGTGGAAATGCACCAAAGTTTGGGTATTCAAAACGAGCCGTCGAACTCCGCACTAATCGATTTTGGTCGCTAAAATTGTGCAATCAGTTGCCCTGTCGATTTCAGAAAAACGGATGGAATAGAGCGCTCTTGCTCTGTTCCTGTTTCGACGTGAGCCATTTGCATTTGCTGATTATTTGCTATGTCATGCTTTTCATGACTAGCAACCCCTATTTTCTCTCTCTCTTATTTGCAAGACTTGTCGATCGGGATTTTGTGTGGCTGACGCCTAATAGGGATTGATTGATTGGAAGTGCTGTAGAAAAAACATCAGCAGGGGCCAGCCATTGGGATGTTTGTTCATTTCGCTAAAACCCCAGAAGCAGAAGTTCCCATTCGGATACGTTCGCAGCTTGACCTGATCTGCTATGTGCCAACCAGTCTGTATCCGAGGCGCTACAATGATGGCATGATCCTTTGTCAGTTGACCAGAGGTAACGTGATTGCATTAATTCAATTGTCTCGAAATAGCCATTTGGTCTTCTTGTCGATGATCCTACTTTATATATGAAAAGAAAGCTTCCAAACAGTTCGGTACCACAGAATCTTTATGAAAATCGACGGATGTAGTTTTCCCAAATTCACGGTGATCATCCGCTTCTTAACATGTACGATTCATGCATATCACTCTTAATATATTTTGTGTGGCTAGATTTACTCTCTTGGAATAGCAGCAGATGCAAATCATCAAATCATGTTAAAGCAACGCATCTGAATCATGTGAAACGAATTATCAAAGCCACCTTGGGGTGTGGAGCACATGAGGCACAAATATGGTTTGTCTGCTCTTTTTTCACTCAGCAAAAGGAATACGCCACTCCGTTTTTCCAGAATAGTAGTATTCTTGCACGTTCCTATGCGGTTGGCCGACTCGTTCTTTTGTGACAATGGCGAACTGTAGCGAATGGATTACAGCAATGACAACTGTTTAATGTTACTATCATGTGTTTGGCATCGCTTGATTATGCTGTCTGGCAACCCCGGTTTTCCTTAACAACGTTTACCAGTGTGCCTTTTGACACCGATACTTTGTGCAAAGCAGGGTACCCCTATTCAAGCTTTCAGTGACTTAATTTAAAACTTGGGTGCTCCACCGCAAAAGCAACTGGGGTGGGCCGTGATATGCTGCTTTGAATATTAGAATGTATTCCAGCTGCATCGTCGTCAACTGGTCTAGTAAATCAATAATGGCTTACTACTCTCAAAAATCAGGACAATATTGTATGGACTTGCTGGTGTTTATCATTGCGATTATGTTTGATGAAAGTATAGAAAACTCTTAAAACTCAAGCGGTTTGATATGAATGACGGCGCTACTCAATTGGATTGAAGTTACCAACTGAAGCACGGAATCGTTACCAGATCGATTTCGTTGGAGTCGGTCACTTCTGCTGCTTATCAAATAAACTTCAATGGCTACATTGTTTTTGGGGTTAAAAGGAGAGATGTAAAAAAGAGTTGCTGTAACATAAGATTACTGTTCTTTAACCCAATTACACTATCCGAATCAAATCGCGCATATAGTCGATATGAAATCGCAAACCAATTTTGTAAATGCATATTACTATGTGTAAAAAAAATTCCAGCACGTCACCATTTTTTACTTTACAAATGTAGATAGAGGTATATGAAACACTGGGTCATAGATAGTAGGTATTTAGATGAAGGTAGAGTTCATTCATTCTTTAGAAACCTGTCAAAGGAATCCCGAATGCATTCTCCTCCTTTTCGTGGATCGAAGAGAAACCGATACCAACTTCCATCTGCGCATATCGCTATATACACACACACTCAATAATTTGAGTATCAATTTCTCCCATCAAGCGATTGAAAAAAACAACACTACACATACCAAACTTACCAATAATTGTATTCTTTTGTTCCCCAAATGCTGCAATACACCGATTCTCGGTCACAATTTTTGCATGGGCAAAACTCCATTCACTACTAAAGTACTTGGGTAGTAAATCCTTCATGAAGCTCAAGCTACTTCCTCGGTTGCCATTCATCGTTAAACCAGATCCTTTTGCGGCGGGTGATGTTGGATAGACGACGACCTCACCATATGTTGGACCCCGTGGCTTCTGATCCGCCATGGCTATTACAGATGCATCAAGGTTAAATACGTGGATAGTCCCTTTATCCGATGATACGCACAGCCGTGTAGAATCGTGGTTGAATGCTATTGAGTATATTTCTGCTCTGTCCATGCCTCGTCGTAATTCGTTCAACAATGTACCGGTTGCCGTATTAAATACACGCACAAGTGTTCCTTTGTCGCTTGTTGTAGCACATTTTGTGCCGTCGTGGTTAAGCGCTATGCAACTCAGTCTACCAGAATGGGCAGCAATAATACTGACGTTGGCTGTGGGTGTCGGTCGACCTGTAGATGCAGATGTTGTCGCAGATGTGTTGCTAGGTGGTGCTGGTGGTAATAATGAATCCTCGTATTGTTGCTGTTCTGTCGCATTATCAGCAGTATTAGAGCTCTCTGAGTATCGCTGAGGCACTGCTGACCAATAATATCCTAACGAATCCAAATCCACAATCTGCAAGTGTCCTTTCTGTCGTCCGGGTATAATCAGCACTGCATGATCTTGTGCTGCCGATACTGCTGCTAGTCCTCTTTCGTTGTCGCATGTTTCAAACGTATGTAACAGTTTTGGATTGATGCTGAACTGATAAATGAACACTTTGTTGGCTAATACGACAGTCAATCTTTTCTTTAATCGTCGATGTATTTGTAAGTGTCGTTGTGGTGGAAATAGAACATGTAAACAAACGAAACGTTCCAACCACCCTCTTTACTAAGCCTTAAACAATTAAATACTTGCCTATCTCTACGAAGTTTGACATTTTTGACGTCGCTTTTATATTCGAGTTCCAAAACTGGCTTGCCTTTGATACTGTCATAGATGATAACCTTATTTGGTGGGAACCGGGGATACTTGCCCCCACCGACAAACGCAAGGTAGTTTGTGCGATAGAGCATTTCGACAAGCGCTATACCGCCTTCATTCGACTCTAATTAGGCGAATTATTCCACAACAATAAAATTTTTTTTAACCATGTTAGCTTAGTCCATCTAAATCCTAATTTGCGTGGATGTAATGGTTGTGCTTATGCATATATGAATGCGGTATATAAAAAAAAAGAGAGGTTTATAAACCTGAGCGTGCTTGTTCAATGAGAGGATCGCAGTTATATACACGGAATCCATTATCGAGTCCTGTAGCGAAACAACCATACTCCTGATTGAATCCAGCATAAAGGAATCCGGGTGCATCGTTTTGATGCGACACTGAGCGTGTAAGGTTCATTTAAGAGCTCTAATGTGTATATAAAGTTGGAGAAGGAAGTTGTACTGTATAAAAAAGTAAGGCCCGCCGCGTGCTCGTGCTGCATGAAAATTTCATGACGTCAATGCAGAACAAGGCAATAATATGGTATGCGCCCATTTTTATGATCAGGGAGACAAAGAAGACTTGTATTACAAGCATAATCAATATAGCTATTCAATAGACAGACATGTGATATACATATTTCTGATAAGCTACTATTTGTAAGATAACAAAGAAACTTTCAGAGTACTAACTACAGTATGATTATTTGTGTACATATATGCTACCTTGCCGTATTCGATCTTTTTTCAACAAGGTATTAGAAAAGGTATACAATGCTTACCCTTCGTATGTGTGGACTTTTAAATGCTGCATTAGAGTATATATTCAATCACTCGCTGGGATCAGACGGTCCATGAACGCTATGTTACCATTGAGTGGTGGGCAACGGTTCTGGCCGATTGCAGCTCGCGTAAAAGTCGGTCAGCATTAGCTGGATTACTTTAAAAACTTTCGTATTCGTCTCCTTTATGATCTTGTACCCATAACCAACCGGGCAACGACTCTTTTCCTGCTCAAAATAAATTTGAAGCACCTGTTCACCGTTCTTGTCGTTATGGTTTTTATTTCTGCATTAGCAACGCACGTTTATCGTGATCTGCACTTTGCCACTTGTCTGTCAGCATCATATTCGGACTCTAGAGATGTGGCACAGCTTTTATGCAACATCTGGGGGTCCGTGGATGATTTATGCTCGTCAAAACATTCTGCAGCATATAAACATCCAGCATACTCACTGCACTTTGCAACGATAAGCTCTTCTAGTATATTCTCGCACTTTAAGATTTTGTGCCTCCTTTCAACGAAGAGAATGATCCTTTAAAGGAGTTGATTTATGTATGTACAAAGTAGCAGGCAAGATCCGCAAACACAGGCAACATCTAGCTCGATTACTAAAGAAGTAACTATCATGCACATATTCAATGGATTTTTCTAAGGCTTATTTTGTTTTAAAACATGTTACAGCAGTCTACATCAAAACTACAAGAGTACAGACGATCTAGCTCATCAACAGATGTGCCCGAAATCGTAATTCGAAACAGAGAAAAATTCTGCAAGCAAGCGTTTGAGCAAAAGCTCAAGTCCTTGTCCGGTTGGCTATGGGCACAAGGTTGCAAAGGAGACGAAACAGAGTGACCATCTGATCCCAGCGAGTGATTGGATATTATAATGCAGCGTTTTCATAGTCTACACATACGATGGGTAAGCGATAATAATGCATCGTATACCATATCTAATTATCAAAGTATATCTAATGGCATTGAAAGTTGAAAAACAATAGCATTTTTTTAACAAGGCCGAAAAGGGTTTATATTCCAATACAATAAGCGTATCGGAATCTACTTTCATTCCAGTACGTCAGCAACAGGTATTTTGGACAAAAAGCGCCGGCCAAGTGTTTTAAGAGAAAGTTATCCAGTTACTTTACGTATCATGCAATGCGATTCCCCTAACAAATCGCCAATGATGCAACAGCAGCTTGATCAGCATGATTGCGCTTCTTTATGCTCTCAAATAACTTGGGTTCCTATCATTTATGTGTGTGATCGCATAATACCGCAGTGCAGTACGTAGCAGAACGACACGAAGGCTGTATAACATCTGGTCCCTCCCGACTAGATGAATAACGGACTTACCCTTTCCTTATACATGTGTAGTCATATAACAAATGTTGCATCGTCCAAGAGAGGAATATGGCGGACTCCAAATATCAAAGCAATGTGGCGAGGAAGGACGGGAAAGCATCCTGCTGCGCTAAAGTAATCACCAACCACAATATGCTCCAAGAAGAAGAAGAAGAAACCTGTATTGTTCTCTTTGTAGTGCAGGAGCAGCATCTTTTTGCTTGTCACATCCAGTTTTATTGGTTTCGCAAAGAAAATGTAATGCGTGTACAGTACAACGTTGATTACTGTATTGGATGTGAGAAGAAGAGAGCTATTAATTAAGACTGATCACGGCGGATGTGCACGCGATCCATCAACTGTTCACTTTTAGTACACAGCAACAACAACAGATGGATATCCTCATGTGATGTGCATATACAAAAACATTCAACAGCATTGTGTGTACTGTTGTCATTTATTGTAGCAATAGTAATATTGCCAAATCGTATTACATAGGCATCTGTATCTCTATATAGTATTTGCATCGATGTTCTTCAGCATTACTAGGTTGATTTACGATCATTTGAAGCCGGTAATTATCGGGTAAAGAGGTAAGCATATAAAGCGGAACGTTTGAAGTGTTCTTTGTTTAGAACGATTCATATTGGTGAGCGGGTAATCGTACATATAAAGGAGGCATCTCTTCCCATCATTGTGATGCTGGTGGGAAAAGGGATTTGATGATTTCGTTACCTAAAAAACAGGTAGAGCGGCAGATGGGGCGGCAACTCCGCATTGGGGGATACGTATTTAATATCGAGTTTGCGAGATGCTTGCTTGAATTTGTTCTCTTTCCCCTTTCCTCTTTTCTATCCTACAATCCAAAGAAAAAGACAATTATGACAGTTATTGATTCAGACAACCGCCATGCAAAAAAGACACGTGACCAGCTCGCCTACTTGAAAACATTGACAGAGAGTTTGGATTCTTGGGACTTTGTCTCAGAGCAAGACGGCGTCAAGCTGTATACCAAAGACATCCCCGACAGTCCTCTACCAATTGTGCGCGGCGACACCGTACGTGATGATTTGGACTGCAGTCCTCAGGATATCGTGTCTGCTGCTGTTCTTCCAGGATGCCGCGCAGTCTGTAAGTTTGCTTTCCCTAGGAGCTCTCTTGTGTAAAAGTCATCCCCTTCTCTAACAAGAGCACTGTAATATTATGGTTTGTCTACTACTCCAGGGGATGAACAGTTCGACACATCTGATATCAAAGAGCTCTATACGCGATATGAATCCCTCTTTTGGGTCAAAATGAAAGCGCCCTGGCCAGTAAGGTATGATGTGTGTCTCTTTATGCAACTTTTTCCCAGCCGCAACCCCCCCCCCTTTATCGTATCATTTTGGGAAACCAAGAACCCTCTGCTGACGCACAATATAGCCCACGCGACATTTCAGGCACCTCCATTCGTGATTACAGTGATGACGTGGTATTCATGTCCATGACCTCTGTTGAGGATGGCCTTAATCCGCCCGACCCAGAATGTGTGCGCGCCAATCTCGTTGTGTCTGGATGGAAGTTCTACAAGACGCAAGACAATAAGATTGGTATTACGTACATTACGCAAATTGACTTGGGCGGGTATATCCCGTACTGGCTGCTCAAATCGATTCAAACAAGTATCCCGCTGTGCGCGGGCAAATTGGCGGATTACGTAAAGGAGCGCGGATTCCCTCCAAACACGCGTGTGTGCACGGGCAAGTTCCTCGGAGAAACGTTGGAAGAAAAAGAGGATGGAGCGATCGCGTATAACGTGCAAGTGGATGGTGGCGAGATCGAGTGTTTGGTGTCAGGCAAAATGTTCCCGACGATTCAGGTGCATGTGGATGGGCAGGCAGGCGAGCCGGAAGTGGTGGTGGAGGAGAAGGAGAACAAGGTGGTCAGGATCAAGGCCATCCAGGGCCAAGTTAAGATCCGGCTCACACGATGAAAATATTTGTGTGTGTGTGTGTGAGTTAGGGGGGTGTTACTCACAAGGACGCGGATCTGATGCCGAGAGATGAAGGGCTTGGATATGACATGTTTGTCTTCACTTACTAGCAGCTGCTAATGCTTACAATAAAAATCGGTTCAAAATGAAGGCTGGAAACGCTTGATATGTTTTTTTATATGTCATCACAGATCACCAGAATTTTAGGTTCATAATAGAGAAAGAAGGGAGCATATGTACAGATGGTAAGAAGACATGGCAGATCGAGGTTATGAGTTATTGTTGTTGGTGGCATGAGTAAATAAGGGACGCTCATCATCGTCCTCTTCCACCGAGACATCGCCTTCTTCGTCAAACTCGCCGCCTTGTGGAATCCAGCCCACTTTCCAGGGCCGTCCGCAGGACCAATACTTTGGCGAACAGACAAAGTCGACAATGTCATCATCTGGGCCAACTCGGCCTTCGGGCCTGCCCCGGCGCATGTATGCGATATGCTGCGATGCATTTCTCTTCTCGTCTTTGCAAAGCACCCATCGACAGTTGCGACACACGCATCCACCACTCTTGTTGTACCTGTCATCATGTCAAACCAAAGGTAAGGATCTACGCTCTCTCTCTAATACATACACTATATTTGCAAACAAACGCGTGTGCAATCTTACCTTAGCCCGCACTTGTTGCACAGATAAACGTAGGGCCGTCCTTTGTCATTGAATACAGCGTTGGAAGGGAATGGCCAGTTGAATGCTTTCCGCATACAGCCGTCGGATGATTCGTGACATGCTTGACAGGGGCCTTTGGTTCGGGCAGGTCTACCTGTTCCAGGTGGCTGCTGCTGCTGCTGCTGCTGGTGTTGGTGTTGCTGCAGAGGGTTTTGGGCAGACGAAGTGGAAGTAAGTGAGCGCTTGGATGATGACGATGCTAACGATGATGATACTGCGTTTGTTGTTGTTGTTGCTGATGTGGTGGCAGGTGGCGGCGGGACTTTCTTCATAGGGACTTCGATTCGTGTCACCAGACGTTTCTGGGGCTTATAAAGCCTCGCTCTTTTCTGATGCATCGGCAGCAGCTCCTGTTGTTTCTCCTGACATTGGTGTTTGCGCTCAAGTAGTACGCGTTTGCGCAGCGTGGACAGAATGGTATCATTGGTGGGCGGTGGTGCAAAAGCATGCGATTCAAGATCAAGCTGAAACACGATACTTTGATCGCCTGCAGCCCGTGTGGGTGACCGCTGCGGTTGTACTGTTTTGCGTCGAGTCTGTAATGGGTGATGCTCATAATGGCTGTTGCCGTCGTGCTGTTGTCGCTTTGTTGCCACTGCTGCTGCTGGAGGTAGGAGTGGCCCCTGTTCTTGCTTGATCAGACTCGGTACCAACGATGGTGGCCCGTTGCTAGTGGTGGTGGTGGTGGTGGTGGCACCCGCAGTAGCACCAGCAGCAGCAGAGGCAGGGTAAAAGGGAGGCGTCAACGACAGTGAGGGGAGAGAATCTTCGTCGTCTTCTTCGCCGCCACTATCATGTAGTAGATCGGGCGGTGACAGGATGATTCGCTGGAAGGCACTTTTGTGTTGCTGTTGATGGATGGTGTTGCTACTGCTGCTGTGATGGAGCATGCTGTTGTGCTGGTGGTGGCAAGGATGGTATGAGGTGAGAAAAACAGAGACACGGGAAAAAGAGGGTAAGGAAGAGGTGGAAGAAAGGAAGCAAAGGAAGAAAGAGCGAGAGCCAAGAAAAGAAAACAGGAAGAGACGGAAATGTAAGAAATGAGGCGGTGGCCTACTAAAGCACACGCTCTCAGCAGTTTTTGATCGGAAGGTGACATAACGGTGAAATACACCGCATGTCTCTAAACAATGCCTGTACCACCACCCTGCACTTCACGTCTCGTTGATTTGATACAGCCCACGCATCTGCTGTATACGCAGTCTTTACTATTGTGTGATGTGCTGCTGCTGCTGCTGCTGTTGTCATATGCCCTGTTGCAACACCCCAAGAAACATACGCCTCTTCTCTTCTTGCCAATAACAGATCAAGACATGCGCGCTTCTTCCTTTCTGGAGAACAGAACGAGACTAAAATAAGCAGTGTGGAGGGCATTTATTTTCTACATAAACCAACATCGTCATCGTCATTATCGGCACGTTCTCCGACCCCGCAAACCTTCTTTCTTCCAGTTCTTCAGCTCTATTTTGACTCTGTTCATTGGCAACAAATCCATGGTCCTCTGTTCGGAGATCGGCAAAAGCATAGTGCCGCTGCAGTGTAGGTCCCATTACAGTGGCACCCATCCTTCCAACTACCCCATACCTGCCCCAATTAAGCCCGCGGGTCATCATCCTCGTCGGCTGTAGTATCTAGCCAAAAACGAGAGAAAACGCCTCCAACTATATCAGTGTCCAATCGTCAATCACCACCCCTCTCATCATCTCCAGAGCAAAAAGCACAGCGATGAATTGCTCATAAAGTTTATGTGTGGCTAATCAATCAAATTACTGTGTAGCTACTGCTGCATATGCATAGCATAGAAGAGGATACTTAATGCGTCACGAGGACCCCTTTCCAACAGAGCAAAGCACCTATTATGCTATGCCTTCTTTGGCACTGAAGTGCCTTTGCCATCATCCCAACCCTTTTTTCCCCCTCTCTTTCTTCCCTCTCTTACTGGTTCCTCCTTCTTTGCCACACTTCTTTTCTAATCGTACATAGCTAAGCTAAGAACAGATGACAACAACAAGCACACAGACAATTGAGCTCCGGGAGACAGCAACAGCAGCAACAACATGCGGGGGAACTGTGTTCAACAACAGTCTGCAGCACCGTCATCCCAACGGCAGTAGTAACACCAGTGATAATAGTCAGCGTCCGCTAGACATGGAACAAGGTCGATCGGATCAACGGCTTGGGGACCCGCTCCGTCTTGTATCGGCCAAGAAGTCTGAAAACGACATAAAAGACATCAAAGCGAGTCGCAAACTGCGCAAGTTCTATCGCGAACAGAACGATTTAATCGACCATATCTTGGGTCCATTGAACCCTGTCGATGAAGAAGCAGAACAAAAGCAAATGCTCAAGGTACTTGTTTTCACCATATTTGAACACATGAATAATTTCGACTCGACCTAGTTGACGATATCTCTCTTGAAAAACATCAAAAGGTCAAGATCGCAGTGTACGGTTCCGGTATCGCCAATATCATACTGTAAGAAATCCATGCTATATGCATCCTCCCTTTGCCCACTCTCTCTTTACCAACATGTTTCAATAATAAGATGGCGGAGCGAAAACTTCTCACACACACACGAATTTCTAATTCTGTAGATTTGTGCTACAGATGGTGGCAGCCATTTCCTCCGGATCACTAGCCATTTTTGCTACAATGGCAGATGCATTTATGGATCTGCTGAGTTCTATCGTCATGATGTGGGCTGCTCGGCAAGTAAGCAGGCCCAACTTGACTAAATATCCTGCGGTACATAATTCGATTTCATGCAACACACACTATGTTTTCCCCCTTTTTTCTTTCTCAGAAGGCTTTATATGATGATAGGGCAAAGATCGAATGGAAACCGCTGCCATCATGGTAAGAACGTGTTTCTGATGTGGTTGATGATGCACCACCATGGAAAGATTTGTTATCGAATTAAAACCCTCACCATTCTGATAATAGGTTTTTTCCTGCTTGATGAGCTGTGTTGCCATCTTTTTGATCGTATGCATTTTCATGATATTTTGGTTGCGGTTTTGGCCAGGGGATTAAAGTAGACAATGAGGAGATGCCGGTGAAAAAGCTGACGTATACCTGTTTAATGCAGATTGAATCTGCACAAAAACTTGCAGAACCAAACGCCAACACGCCCAACATGACGTCTGTCGCCATCGGTTGTGTAGCAACTGCCATTGGTAATAGATTCTATACTATGCAGAACAATGCTTGGCTCAAAATAGTTAGAAGGCTAAGCTAACGAAATTTACGGACAGGTGTCAAGTTTTGCCTGTTTCTGTATTGCTATTCACTCTCCCAGTACTCGTCAGCCAGAGTATTTGCTCAAGATCATCGTAATGATTTGCTGGTCAATGGGCTTGGTATCACGACGGGTATACTCGGCAGCCGATTGGTAGGATGGATAGATGCAGCAGGATCCATCCTTATTGCCGTAATTATCTTGAGAAGTTGGATATCCACGTTGATTGGTATGTCTTGTAATTATGTGTGCTTTGTTTAATAGTTAGTGTTGTTGATTGAACATTACTAATCTCGTTCTTTGGCCATTCATAGAGCATACAAAATTGATTGTTGGAAAGACTGCCGATCATGACTTTTTAAAACGTGCAACTTACATTGGTATGTGATGATCCATCGTCCTTCAATTCTCGTTGTACCAATTGCATATGTGCATCTACCTCACTGACAGTTTTTTATTTACAGCATTGACACATCCGGGTGTGCATCAAGTAGATACATGTCGTGCGTATTATGCAGGCAACAATTTGTTTGTTGAAGTCGACATTGTGCTGCCACCAGAAACAGTTTTGCGTGATTCGCACGACATTGGCGAGTCGTTGCAGATCAAGCTCGAATCGCTGCCGCAGGTCGAGCGGGCTTTTGTACACGTGGATTACGAAACGTCGCACAGACCAGAGGTAAAGATTTACACAGCGGGGATCTGCTATTCTAAAACAAAATGACAGTGGCATCATCGGACTGACTACAATTCCATTAATAAAAATATATCCAGCATCAAAAGAGCAAGTAACAAGATACCATGGTATTTACTTCGTTTATCTCTCAAATTTTGAGATCTGGCTTGCAAGCGACAGCATGAATAAACGCTATATGATTTTAAATAATTGATGCATTGGCTTCTTGATCTGCTTTGTTAGTATAAAAGCAGCAGGCGTAAAACTATTACTACTGTACGCGATGTTTGTTAAGATAGCATGGCGTGTAGCGCAGAGTGGTGTTGTATGTATCGATGAATTTCACCTCTTATAGTGTCGCTATAATAAGCGAGTCAAAAGTATGTATTCATCACTGTAAGTCAGCGAATCCACTTGTTTAAAGAAATGTCTGTTATAAAAGGGCAATAATAGCTTTGTATAGATAGTGATATTAGGATAAAACTTTATTATTTATCTTTTATCACTAAGCGTGTACAACGAAATGCTTATGATACTAGCCAACTGACAAAAAAATTAGCGGGTGTGGCATGGATCGATAGAAGATAGGGTTGGCGATTAACGTTTTCTTTTTATAGTGACGTTCTTCAAAAGCATGCAGTCGTTTCAAAATGATTATTGCTATTATTTAACGTACGCTGCTTTTTTTTAATTAGTTGAACGACCGCGTGTATACGTACGTATGTTTATGTTGCTTAATTCGTCAAACAGTAAAAGCTCATGCTTTACAGGCATAGATCAGTGGTTAGCATCGATTTTATACTGAGTAACTGCTTGAATTGTCGATAACGTTCGTATCACTTAACCATGTTAACATCCAGATACATGCAAAACAGATGTATCATTACTAGTGTCGATGTTATCAACATAAAGATACACGATGATGAACATAGGGTTAATCACGGATTCACTGGCATATATGTACGAAAAAGAGTTTCCAAAAACATATGGTTTTTCAGACGGCTTCTGTGTGAGAAAAAGGAAAGAGCCATAACATGATGTTCATTGTCGATCCATGTTATCGACAAGTGTTTTGAAGCAGCAGTACTTGTATGAAAGAATCATCTATCATGCGGCCTTGCTTCTCAACGCTAAGCACACATTTATATCCACTACCAAGAATAAAGAAAAAAAGTAGTTAGCATAATTGTATGTATGCCCAGTTCCGGGTATAAAACTAATAGAGTTTCCTTTCTATAGTGTTCGAGAAGGGGGGGAAGAAGGAAGCTGGATCTGCGACGAAGATCTCCGTAAAACACCAGCAGAACTACGAATTGTAGCTAAAAACAATTTTTTTTAGATCCAACAGGGCAATGCGCGTGGATAGGAGACTCCTCCAGGTCCGGCAACAATTTTTCCGACACGCTGGGCACTTTCTTTGGTTTCACACTCGCACCTTCGCTCTATGTTGCCTCTCTCTTTTCTTTCTTCCAACAATCTATAACGCCGCAGAAGAAAAAAGTAAATTACTCAGGGGTTGAGAGAGGGCCGCACAGCATTCACACACTCCACAATACGCATATTTAGAATTATTACACTGCTATCCACATATGGCCGACAGCAGCACCACCAGCAGCAGTAGCAGCAGCAGTAGCAATAACAATACCAATAATAACGCACCTAGCGCTGGTCGGCCACAGGTTTCTCGGTCGACATCCGTAACCAAGTCGACTCGAACTACCCATCAACGCAAACCTTCTCTCAACATTCCAAGCAATCTCTATCCCATTCCCGAAAAAGTCACTCTTAACAACACCAACGCTAACATCATGCCACCTCCTCCATTACCATCGTCTTCGTCTGTTGTTCCACCGCCATCTTCACCAAAACGTCTCCGCTCATCATCATCATCATTTAGCTGGCGCACCTTATTGCATCGCATCGATTTCTTTCTCAAACCTTCTGGTCCCCTCTTACCACAAGACAAGCATGGTGCCGCATTCGGTGGCACTGGAAAGAAATCGCGTATTTCTCAAATAGTACGATCGCGATCCGTTCGTTTCCTGTTTCTTTTTTACGTCGTCTTTTCGGTATTCTTATCCATCAATCACTTATGGCATTGGATGTTTGGTGCTGACACGGTTCAACTGGATGCCCGGTTTGGCGATCAATGGAAACCACAACGACCTTATGATCAAGGTAAGAGAAAGAAGCGAGCAGGGAGCAATACACTTATTTAAAAGTAAAAGGAGCATTAACTGTGAAGCCAACTGGGGTAAACGTAAATTAGATGAACCATATTCAATCATGGACGACATGACACATGGTTTAAAAATGTCAAAACTCTTTTCGAAATCCTTTTACGATGCCGCTGGCAGCACACAACCCTTCTGGTTAAAGGCATCAAAGCCGGCACAAGAGAACGATATCACGCTTGTCACCACAGTGACCCCTGGAAGCTGGTCAGAGCTAGTGCGTTTAGCAGAACAGTGGCAAGGACCGGTCTCAGTGACCTTACACACACGGTCCCTGGTTGACGGTGGTGTATCGACGCTCAACCAGATCCGTGAAGCATACGCGAACAAACCCGAACTGGCCGAACGTGTGGATGTGCATTTGGTGCGCTCGCCGGGTAAAGAAGTCTTGTCTGTATTGTTACCACGCAACGCTGAACGCAACATGGCACGCATGTTTGCCCACACGCGCTACGTTTGCGAGATGTCAAGTCATATGGTGCCGGCCACCGATGTAAGACGCACGCTCGACGCAAATCGCGAGTATTTTGAAACATTGTTGAACTCGGGTGATATGTTGGTTGTGCCCACATTTGGGTTCCCTGCACCGCATGAAGATGCCAAATATACGATCCCGTATAAAAAAAGTCGACTGTTGGAGTTGGTCGAGGCGGGTCAAATGGGACTGGTGGATCCCCATTGGGATATGAACGAAGGGCCTACGGATCTTCACCGTTGGCAAGACGCCACGACTCTTTATGCCGTGGAGAACTATGATTTCCATTACGAACCGATCGTCGTTGAAAGCAAAGCAGTGCAACCATGGTAAAATGCTTGATTAGGCTTTACGTTGTTTAAAAGATCTCATGCTTACAAAAAAGGAAAAATCCCGGTTGTTGGATTGCTTTGCTTTCTGTTAATGCTGTTTTAGGTGTGCAGAACGGTTCTTGGATAGACGGTCAGCATGTCTCTTTTCGAACTATCTGGCCGGTGGCGAGTTTTGGGTTCTGCCGGATGATTTTGCAGTGCAGTTGCCGGATAATAAGGAATTTGTCATTTCTGATTTCGATGTAAGTTTAATGTGACTGAATCGTTATCAGTCTGTATGAGCGAGGAATGTTGAAGAGAGAGGGAGAGAGGGAGGGAGAGAAGAAAAAGATACTCATGCAAATGTGTGTATTAGCTTGTACTGGAAAACCGGCTTTATGCCAAATTCTTTTGGGAACAGTGTGTGCATCATGCACGACAGTTGGATGCACTAGGATTATGGAAGAGTGCGCGGTCTGAGCACGTTCGTAAGCAATGCTCACGGGTGATCCAGAATTGGGGCAAAGGGCTTATTGGCAAGCCAGAGTAGTAAAAAAGAGACAAAGGACGATCTTTTAAAGGGATAAATAAATATCATACACAAGAGTGCACTTGTTGGGCATAAAAGAACTGCATATGCAAACACTAACTTTTGGTCGTCGGTAAAACAATCTCCCCTCGAAATAAGTTCCTATTCTACGGGTATAACCTATCCGTCTTGGCTCTATTTTTTTTTCTATTATTATTCTTTTTCACTGCTCCATTCATCACATTTAGCATCTTTTTTCTAATTTCTTTTTCTTCTCCACCTTGTATTACAAAACTAGCCAATTTAGCTCGCCGATAGTCTTTCATCACATATATAGCGAGACATGGATTCACAGTACCCTGCTACTTCATTACCACCTCCGGCACAATACTATGCATCCGGTGCGGGCACCACGGCAACCGCACCGCCAATGCCCGACGGGTTAGGTTCTTCATCATATATGCATGAACCTCGGCAACGTCGACCATCACCACAACAGGGTTACGAAGATAAGGACGGCAACAACAGCAGCAGCAGCAGCAGCACTAGCAGCAGCACTGAGCAACAACCTCAGCAACAACCGCCCGCAGCGGGTGGGCTGTCAGGGATTGAAGCTTATTGCGGATCGATCGGATATGACGAGCGGGAAAAAAGGTTTTATTTTTTAAAGAGGAGAGTAACTTTTATAATCGAGATATATACTAACTGTGGACATAACGTGCTAGATCTTATGAACTAGTAGTATGCCAACAGCCACTGCACGCACGTATGTGTGGTTTCGGCGAAAAGGACCGACGACCAATTGATCCACCACCGATCGTCAAATTAATTGTTCAACAAGAAGGCCAACAAGGTCCTGTGGATGTACAGTAAGTTTATATAGGATCCTATCATAATAGCCCAGGAGTCTCTCTTCCTTGCATTTGTTCGATCACAGACTTTAAACCATCTTTATTAAAAAAAACCTATATATTAGAACGCTACAAACGCCCTTCTTTGTATTGCATGTGACATTATGGTCTGCCGACAGAGAAGAGGAACGAAATATCATTTCGAATCCACCCAAATGCACTCGTGTCTTGATGGGGTCGTTGGTCAGCTCGCCCAGCTTACTAAAGAATCCAGCAGGTGAACAGGGGTTGTACTTTGCATTCCCAGATTTGAGCATTCGAACCGAAGGAAGATATACATTACGGTTCAGTTTGATGAAACTCGCTAGGTAAAACTATGTTCATTACGCATAAACATTCTTCCCCCTTCCCTGGATGGATCACCACACCTTTCTTTGTCTTGCCGCCTTTGTTCGCCTTCATTTTTCTCCCCACCCCCTCACTTTTTACATCGTCATCAGCAGTCTCTCCTGGAGACAGAAAAAGCTTATTGTGTTTATTGTTTTAGCTCGGATTTTCAAACGGATGCTAAATCAAAGATCATTGCACAAGTATTCTCGGATCCATTCACTGTGTATTCTGCTAAAAAGGTAAAAGAAAGAAGAAAAGTTAAATGGATTGTAGACGTGCATGTAGTCTCAGTACTAACTGAGATGTAAATCTTTTTGTTTGCTTGTTTATTATAGTTCCCTGGCATGACAGGTATGAATAAGGAGGGCATATTTTAGAGTGAGATGAAATGGATATGGATGTGCTTACGGTTTGGACTGCAAAATATAGAATCGACCGAACTATCCAAGGCATTTGCTAAGCAGGGATTGAAAATACCCATTCGTAATGATGGTAAGCAACTAGATACATAGATACAGTAAAGGAATTCCAACATATGTTTAACGTGCATTGTTTATGTTGTACATAGTACGGGCAAGGAAGGGCGGGTCTGAACTATGATCTCGTTGGTTTTTTGACCTTCTTCTCTCACAGCCTTGGCTTCGTCAACACCACATAAAAACAACACAACACTACGCACATTCGCTCACTCTCACTGTCACTCACATACACAACTCACAACTCACCCATACACAAAAGACAATAAACATGATGCCTTGAAGAAAAAGGAAATGGATATGTTTCAGACCGTTGGGTAGTACCTATTGACTGCGGGACAAGTGCCTCATTAGCGACCTCCAACTTTTGGTCAGTACGATTTGCCCAAATCGAGCTGGTGATAGCACACTGGACGGGTCATACATCAACTGATGACTCATTACTGTGGAATTTAATGGCTGTGCATGATTTTGCTGATACATGTTGAGGCGTTCTGTGACAGATAGATAAGTCCTAGGGAAAAAACAGTCCTATAGTGTAGGTGGCTAAAAAGATAATGTCTTGTCTGTTAGCTCATCCGTCGGGCACCTGTCTATATTCTGCTTTGCAAAGTAAAAGATAATAGAGAGAGCAAGAATGGTTCACAATGATTCTTTGCAAAAAACCACAGGAATGCTGCGCAACATTTTTTCTGGTGGCTGAGACTAGTGATTCCGATGACCCCATATCGATTTTGACACCACGTCTCACACGCCCTTCTTTTTTTCATTCTCCCCTCTACCTTCTCCTCCCACACACTCACAATGCCTGCTGAAGAGACGAAGCCAGCACCCCCTCCCGCCAAGGCTGCTGACAAGAAGCCCAAGGCTGACAAGAAGGCCAAGAAGGCCAAGGCTGCTGCTACTGAAAACAGCTATCCCCTGGAGGTTCGCATTACACTGCGATTCTTTAGAAACACACACATACGGAATCTGACAACTAAAACGTGACGCACCTATATGTATTAGATGACCCCTCCTCCAGAATTCCTGCAGCACCGTATTGATATGTTTGACCGCCTCAAGGCTGAAGCCGACGCTGCCCTGAAGGGTAAACAGAGAATTCCACATTCAATGATTTTCTTTGTCATTATCAAAAATTTGGTTAGAAGCTCACACGATTTAATTGTATGACTCAGAAAAACCACGCGAACCTATCACTATCACGCTTCCTAACGGCACCACAAAGGAAGGCACTTCATACGAAACGTCACCCATGGACATTGCATCGGGCATCGCCAAGTCGTTGGCCGAACGCACAGTGATTGCACGCGTGGACGGCGAGTTGTGGGATTTGGAGCGCCCTCTTGAGTCGTCGTGCAAGTTGGAATTGCTCGACTTTGAACACGAGGACGGCAAAAAGGTGTTTTGGCACTCGAGTGCACACATGCTGGGTGAAGCCTGTGAGCGTCACTATGGCTGCCACTTGTGCATTGGCCCACCGTTGGAGGATGGTTTCTACTACGAGATGGGATTGAAGGAGCGTGTCGTGTCGCAGACGGATTACGCCACGCTCGAAAAGCTTGTTGGTCAGATTAACAAGGAAAAGCAGCCATTCGAGCGTTTGGTCCTGTCCAAGGAAAACTTGCTCGAAATGTTCAAGCATAACCCGTACAAGCAGCACATTATCAACGACAAGATCCCGGATGGCACCTCTACCACCGTCTACCGTTGCGGTCCCTTGATTGATTTGTGCCGCGGTCCTCACGTTCCCCACACTGGCCGTGTCAAGGCATTCACTGTTACCAAGAATTCGTCTTCGTACTTTTTGGGTGATGCCAAGAACGACTCATTGCAGCGTCTGTACGGTATTTCGTTCCCTGACAAGAAGCAGATGACCGAATACAAAAAGTTCATTGAGGAAGCTGCCAAGCGTGACCATCGCAAGATTGGCAAGGAACAGGATCTGTTCTTCTTCCACGAACTGTCGCCCGGCTCGGCATTCATGCTGCCTCACGGCTCGCGTATCTACAATGCCTTGATCGATCTGATCAAGAAGGAATACCAGGCCCGCGGCTTCACCGAAGTCATTACCCCCAACATGTTCAACCTGAAGCTGTGGAACCAGTCTGGCCACGCTGCCAAATACAAGGAAAACATGTTTTGTTTGGAAGTCGACAAGGAAGAGTTTGCACTGAAGCCCATGAACTGCCCTGGCCATTGTTTGATGTTTGGCCACAAGGACCGCAGTTACCGTGAGTTGCCCATCCGCTTTGCCGATTTCGGTGTCTTGCACAGAAACGAATTCTCGGGTGCCCTTTCGGGCTTGACGCGTGTGCGTCGCTTCCAGCAAGATGACGCCCACATCTTTTGTCGTCAGGACCAGATCGAGCAGGAAATGGCTGGCTGCTTTGACTTTTTGAACCACGTGTACGGCATCTTTGGCTTTGAGTTCCACTTGAAGCTCTCGACTCGTCCTGAAAACTTTATCGGTGAAATCGCCGTCTGGGACAATGCTGAAAAGAAGCTGGAGGATTCATTGAACGCTTTTGCAAAGAAGAAGGGTGCTACTTGGGAACTGAACGCTGGCGATGGCGCTTTCTACGGCCCCAAGATTGATATCGTCATTTCGGATGCTCTGCGTCGCAAGCACCAGTGTGCTACCATCCAGCTCGATTTCCAGTTGCCCGAGCGATTCAAGCTCGAGTACCGTACCGAAAACGCCGGCGAAGACAGCGCCTTTGCTCGTCCTGTTATCATCCATCGTGCCATCTTGGGTTCGGTCGAGCGTATGATGGGTATCTTGATTGAACATTTCGGCGGTAAATTCCCCTTCTGGCTCTCGCCTCGTCAGGTCAGCGTCATTCCTGTGGCTGCACCCTTCTTGCAGTATGCTCAGGATTTGACCGCTCAGTTGGTGGCCAAGGGCATCTATGCCGATACCGACACTACGGACAATACCCTCAACAAAAAGATCAGAAACAGCGAACTGGCCCAATACAACTTTATCTTTGGTAAGCTTTGTACAAAAGAAAACGGTTAGTTTGTTTAAAATGGATTATTAATGCTCCGTTTTGTTATTGTGGAACCATCTAGTTGTTGGCCAGGAGGAAGAGAGCAGCAAGTCTGTCAACGTACGTAACCGTGACGACGTTGGCACCAAGGCAAAGGGCCAAACCATCCCCTTGGAAACCGTGATTTCTGGCTTGGTTGCTTTGAAGGAGAACAAGAGCCTGGAGAACAAGTTTTAAAAAAGTTTTCCTTTGTTTTGTGTGTGTTTTAAATATATTTTGAAAAAAAGGGACCCCATCCTGTCTTATTATTAACGACAATTCATGAATTCGTGAATTAAGTGGAGAGAAGCTCCTGTATCGGGAATGGTTTATACACTACGAGATTTTTCCAAATTGTATGCGCCAAGTAAAACTGCTTTTTGGTAAAAAGAATGAAAGTTTTGCGTCAGCGACTTTATTTGCTTCATTGATAAGCCATTATGCATTTACAACGGATAACTACAACACAATTTTTCTTCGAATACTCATGTTTCTTTTGTGGAGAAGAGTTTACTTGATTGAGCACAATTCTGCTCACCCCTTTTGTATTTTATTTTACAGACTGGTTAGTTCATACACGAACAATACCTTTACTTGATGGTCAGGTCAGTTCTGGCTTTCGAGTTTAGTACGTGCTTGGTTGAAGCACGAAGCAAAGATTCCTCAGGCTTTTTCAGTTTCCAGCAGTTCACGGCTTTCCTTATCTCTTTGCATCATTGAGTGTCAAAATTTTTCTTTACAAACATCGAGGATCTACTGTAATAACGAGCATCCCTTGCACTACTTGAGCCATTTTTATTATGGACCTTTACCAAAGAGCTTTATTGATTAAATAATGACATATATGTTTTATATATATATATATATAATTCATGGGTTAAGGTTATTGTTCCAAAGAGGTAGTGAGGATCGAGTTTTTATCGGTTTTGTATGATCCGTAACAATATGTGCAACTTTTGCGAGTAATCGTAACTGGGTAATGCATGAATGATTCATTCTGGTTTCGAGGAATGTAGCTGGATCAAAAGTTTTGGAGTCAGTAACGAGTTGACGTATCCATTGTTTTATTTATGTATGTTCGCACCTTAATACTACGTATATGTCTTATATGTGTGTTATCAATTATAAGAAGTAGGTATTCACTCTAATTATGAACGGACACAGACAAAATCGAGGAGCTCTTTAGCTCAACACGGGTTGGACTGTTCCCTGGACAAGGGCGTGCGCGTGTGTCAGAAGAAATGCCCTGGCTGCTTTACTATGTTAATCCCTATGATATAGCTCCAAAAGCCCTTGTTCGTTTAATAGAAACCTGACCCGTTCGCCATGGCGACCTGCTCAGCACCACAACAGACCACAGTGGGATTCTAGTGGAACATTTGATCAATCTATTGCAAATAACAAGTACACTTAAACAGATCGACTTTTAGGTTCATACGTCTAAATAACTATAATGCGTCCCCTTCGACCAGATTGCCGCAAGATTGGTTTCTCTTTTTTGTGTGGGTAGTAAAACAATGGGAAGAATATGAAAAAATAAGGAGCGTTTCTGCTGGTTTACTGATAAGCACGAGCGCTCGAGTGTCTTTATGCTATAGTGGGTATAAAAGAAGCATCATCTCAGTATCAGCTCGCAACTGCTATAATGCACACGATATGATAAGCCATAGCCGAATGACTGGTAATGAAAAGGAGGGGGGAATTAGAGCAAGAAAAGGAAAAAGAGCTCCACTTGCTAACACTGATGAAACAGATGAAGGGTTTCCGAATCAAGTACACTACATATTCACCGTTGTTGTTGTTGTCGTCAATAATACGCGCGCTCTATCAACAAGCGTGTAAGGAAAAAGAAGAGCAGCATATGCAGCCATCACTACTAGTTACACTACACTAGCGGGTATTTAGGAGATTCGGAAGAGGGAGGGGAGGGGAGGTGGGAAGGGAGAAGGGAGACGAGAGAGACTGAGGGAGTTTAGGTACTAGTTAGTAGTTGTAGTAGTGCTGGCTGTATGGCGTCAACCCGCGCCAAAAGAATTTTTGCAGAGTCGGATGTTTAAAGCGGATGCTGTTTTGTTGGAGGTGCTTACATACACCCTTCTTTCAGGGGCGCTATGTTTTGCATTTCCCGAACGTCATCTTATGTGCACGACTGATAACGAGCTAGCAGCGAGATCCCAGAAGGTGGTGAGCGTAGAAGAAAAAGAGAGCGAAAGAAAGAGGATGGCTTCTGTCGTTTTGGACAAGAAGAAGAGGAAAAGAGGCGGACAGAAAGAGAGTACGCTTCCTCCTCGTGGTATGTAACACGTTGCACATAGTACACAAGTTGAAATAGAGCCTATAGCATCTTATATTGTATGCTACCTCGAACGTCGGCTCTTCTTTTTTTTTGTCTTGCGTGTGTTGTGTGTGTGTGTGTGTGTGTGTGTGTGCCGTAAGTCGCTCTTGTCGCCCCCTTTCAAATTCCCCTTCCTGCTCTTGCAACAGCAGCAGCAACAACAACAACAGCAGCAGCAGCAGCAGCAGCAAAAAAAAAGGAAACTCCTGTCTTCTTTTCTCCCCTCTCTCCCTCTCTCTCTTTCGCTCTTCGCTCTGCCCTCTTTTCTTCTTCCTTTCTTTCTTTCTTCCTTCTTGCTGTTGCATCCAGAAAATCCCGGATCTAGCTAATATCTCTTTTAATTTTTTTTTTTCACTCTTGTCAAAAAGTATTCCCTTAATAAGACCATACAACAAAAAATAAACAACAACAGCAGCAGCAACAACAACAACAGCACAAATCGATCCTCATGACCGAAATAGTACAAGAGAACACTCACGTCAAGGCACTTCCACCTCAAGTACTTGACAAGCTCAAGCAACTGCAAGAGTGCGATCGCCCCGTCTCGGTCGATGAGGTGCTGGAAGCAGCCAATCTCAACCATCTCACCGAGTCGAAATCAACTGATCTACGACCACAGGCACAAGCGTTCCCTCGGCGTCACGATATGGTGAAATCCAACAGCACGACTATCGCCGAGAGACGAAGAATTCCCGCCTCCACCGAGAAATTAAAGTTGTATGCGCAGATCAGCAACCCTCAGCAGCAGCTCCGCATCTCCACTGCATCCGCTATGCTCAATCGATTCGAGAAAGAGAATGCCGAGCTTTCGCCTCAAGTAAACCATCTTTATTACACACACACACTTCTTCCCATCGTAACGGTCGTTTGAGGCTTTGTACTGAAAGAAATATATAATGTTGTGATAGGCTTCTGAGGAGTATTTGCTAGCTCGTCTCGAACGACAAAACGCCTTGTTGAGCGCCGATCCAAAATCCGTCTGCATTGAATCGAACCGCTTGAAGGCCGATTTCTCAACTGTCCGTGATCTCCTATTGCAACAACAGCAGGACAATGCTACTAGTACGACGACCACGACCACGGCAACTGCAGCGACCGTCGACTGGGATTTCTGGGAATATCTTGTCGACGACTTTAGCGGTGCTGCTGCCAAAATCCCACATTTGTTGACGTCCAAGCTGAGCCGTGGCATTCCTGACCGTGTGCGTGGTGTTGTTTGGCGTGCCATGTCGCAGTCCTCTGCAACACACCTCGAAGCCATCTACGACAAGCTGGTAGAGGAACACAGCGAATCGTCTCCTTACGAACGTGTCATTCAGCGCGACTTGTCCCGCACGTTCCCGCAGATCGAAATGTTCAAGGCCGACGGTGGAGAGGGTCAACAAGCCATGGGCCGTCTCTTGCGTGCGTACAGCGTCTATGATGCACACGTTGGCTATTGTCAAGGATTGGCATTCTTGGCTGGACCCTTGCTCATGACTGTAAGAAAGAACCTCCTGATTTTTCTAAATACTTCTTGTGTGGTTGCTCATGACAAAATATGGCTGTGTTTGACAGATGCCCGAGAAGGAAGCTTTCTGCGTCTTTGTCAGGTGAGTAAAAATGAGCCTAAATCTTTCCTGTAAATTTGACCTTTGCTTTCCCGCCCGCACTTTGCTCTTCCTCCTAAATTTGAGGGAATAGGGAATGCCCACGTGCTCAAATAACCTTTCCTTATTTTATTTTTTCTGGCGACATAATAGATTGATGGAAACGTACGATATGCGCACCATGTTCACCCTCAACATGGAAGGCCTTCATCTTCGCCTGCACCAGTTCTCTACGCTGCTTGCCCAGCTGTGCCCTGAGCTCGACAAGCACCTGGCTGAACACGGCATCCATCCTGCCATGTATGCGTCACAGTGGTTCTTGACCTTGTTTGCCTACTCGTTCCCGATCGACCTTGTCTTGCGCATCTACGATCTGGTGTTCGCCGAAGGTGCTGTTGAGACCATCACCCGTGTCGCTATCGCAGTCATGCAAAAGAACCAGTCCCACTTGCTGGCCATCCACGACTTTGAAAAGCTGATGCTCTATCTTGCCTCGCGCAAGTTGTACGACGATGCCTTTGCTTCGTGTGACCAAGTCATTGAGGATGCCATGGCCTTGAGTACCGTCATTACCAAGGCCAAGGTCGACAGCTTGGCTGCCCAGCATCAAAAGGAGCTCGAGCAGGAAAAGACACGTGCTCAACAGGTGCTGGCTATTCGATTGCAGCAGCCAGTTACGCAGACAACCACGACCAAGCACAAGAAGCGTGAATCGTGGTTCTCGTGGAAGTCCAGTCAACAAACGCAACAAACACAGCAACAACAGCAACAACAACAACAGCAGACTCAACAACAGCAGCAGCAGCAGCAACCTTTGTCGCCTACATCACCCACAACGCCCACGACAATGATGTTCCCGAGACAACAGCAGGATCGCAGCATGCAGGCGTTGCATCAGCAAATTGAAGACTTGTTGCTGGCACTCTCGCAGCTGCAAAAGGAAAATTCGCAACTGTCGGAGGAAATGATGAATATCCAAATGCGCGAGCTCGATCGTGAAGCAGACCGAACCAAAGTGGCAAAGCGCAACGCCGTGCTCGAAAAACGCGTCAAGAAGTACAAGCTCAAGTTGCAGCAGCACCAAGTTGAGGAGCCACCCATGAGCCCCACTACTCAGAAACTGGAAGCATTGGAACAAGATTATGAGTACCGCAGCTTTGTCGATTCGTTGCGTGGTAGTGGCGATTTTGGTGCTTTGATCGCGGGTGCCTTGTCCTCAAAAGACCACGAGCAACAGAAACACGTTGTTCAAGAGCAGGAACAACAACAAGACCAAAAGCAACAGCAGGATAAGATCAAGCAGGCATCGTCGATGACCATTGAAGAGGAAGACGAGGAAGAAGAATCTGCCGCTGCTGCTGTCACGGATAACGCAGTCAACATTGAGCTTTTGCAAAAGTATGATGAAATGTGCCAGCGCTATGCCGCAGTCACTCAGGAACTGGAAACGACACAGCAAGTACAAGATTCGCTGACGACCAAGACCTTGGACTTGCAAGGACAGCTCGAAACGCTGACGATGGAGCGCGATGGTCTTTTGGAAGAACGCGATGCAATCGAACAAGAGAGTTCCGAGATGGAAGTCAAGCTTGCAGCTGCAAAGAAGACTGCATCCGACCTGCAGGTCGAAAAGCTTGACCTGGCCAAGCAGGTAGAAGCCTTGGAAAAGCAAGTGGCAGACCTCGAAGAAGAGAAGCGCAACTACTTGATGCCACGTGGTTCATTTGCCGAAGAGGTCTTTGCTGCTCATCAGACATTGTTTGGTGCCAAAGAGGATAACAACAACAATAACAACAATCGACGCCATACGATCCATGGTGCTAGCTCTGATGGCGACAGCGACGAGTACCAGGCGAAATACATTGAAAGCGACTTGCGTTGTCGCGAGCTAGAAAAGCTATTGGCAGAAGCCAAGTGCAAATTGGCCGAGTATGAGTCGTGTCGTTTGAACGCACCGCCGCGTCGTCGATCGACCATGACTACAAAAACGGCGGGACGAATGAGCATGCCCACATCGCCTTGCTCCATCGATCAACGATACAGCTTTGCAGCCGAGCCGCGAGAATCGACGGATAGCTTCACATCCACAGCTTCAAAGCGGTCGAGCATGTACTCTCGCATATGGAACTCGTTCGGGTCGAATAGCACGGCAGCCACATCTCCAGCATCAAGTGTAGCACACAAGAGCCCTGTCCTTGGGTCTACGAAGCCTATCGAAGATGTGGTGGAGGAGCCACAACAGATCTAATCACTTTCCTATTCTATACCCTTTCTTCCTATTTCATCATCTATCATACTATTTACTTATATGCCCTTCCAACCCCCGCTTCTTATTGCTTGCTATTACTTCACCAACTTGGACACTTATCCACACCCTTTAACCCAACCCCCAGCCCCTTTATAAGATATTATAGTTATGTGTTTTTTTCCTTTCCCTTTTCTTTTAAACTACTACTTGTGTGCGAATTCATCTTACGCTTTCTCTTTCTCTTTTTCCTATCTATACGCGTTCCAAATATTTATTGTTGTTGTTTTAACAACCTCCTCTTTACCGAGTAAAATGGTTTCTTCTTTCCTGTTACGTCTAGTAGCTTCGTTTACATATATTATGGTAATAACAACATGATGTCCGATTTGCCATCTCTTCTATCATACTATCGTATATCAGCTTCATTTATACTAGCTCTTTCGTCAATCATGCACTAAACTGTGTGCTTTTGTCATGCCTTGGCAATGATGCGCTAATATGACTGTTCATCGTTTCGTTTCACCACTATCACATCAAGTGACGTCAGTTTGAGCCATCGTCATGGTATTTCAATCATGACAGTATGCCCAAAATAATTACCCACGAAATGCTGCCTACCCTCATGACAAACGTTTGAAGAGAGTGTTTATTTTTCCATAACGAAACGTTCCGTTTCGATCTATCGCTACATGCGAAACGAGTCTAGAATTATCTACTATTTAATCAAAGAACAGCGGATCAAAAAATGTCCGCCATCCATTATCGGAGTCGGCTTCGATATATAAATAGAGATCGTCCGTTTCCGGGTGCACTAACTTCTTTTTTCCATTTTTTCCAATTGAAACCTTATTTCTGAACAATAACAACACCATAACCTGTGAATGGGAGCCAAAATCTCACGAGAATTACAACGTTCTGAACACACCGAACAACATTTCGAAGAAGATTACGACCATAGAGTCGTACGGAAACTCATTCGTACGGGTCGACTAGCTCCTTGTTTCAACGGTATGCAAAATCGAAAAAAAAATGTCATTTTCTTTTTGAAGGTATAATTAGCTAAACAATATAAACGATAGGTTTAAGTGAGCTACCGGCCACGACGGACGAATCTTCTCGTATCACTGTCCACAAATACCCCTTTTTACCGTGGGATCTTCCAAACCTACGATCCACAGCAGCAGGAGCCCTTCTGCAAGCTGATAGCGGTCAAGTCGTTGAATGTCCTATTTGCTTATTGGTATTGTTTCGGATTTGTGGTTAATTTTTTTCATTTCCTTTCTAAGCAAGCTGCAGGTTCAACTAACGAATGCTCTTATTATGATTATATCTAGTATTATCCTATTCATATTAATTATTCACGATGCTGTAATCAACCTATCTGTACCGAATGCTTCTTACAGATGAAGCGATCTACCAAGACACCTCTGCGACCTGCATCGTGTCCGTTCTGTGTCAAACCTGACTTTGGCGTCATATATGTTCCACCCCCGTTTAGCAGCCAGCACAAGCATGTTGCTAAGCAACGACAGAAATCTCTTTTGGACGGAAGGGGTTCATCGGGAAGACGGAAAAACTATGCTTGGGATGATCCAAACGTAGTATTAGTTGGTACGTGTTGTTGTTTTTATTATTATAAAAGACGAAAAGAAGTGTATTGGGATTGACTCGAGTTTATATTGCAACAACAATAATTATAGATGAAATCCGTCCCAACTGGCACATGCTGATGGCGCGCGGTCCAGAGAAAACTCTTTCTGGCGTAGGCACAACAAGACGACGACTGGTCCGACCCAACGAAGATGCGCCACGATCAGGACGTATACGCGCTTGGGATTCGCCTTATTACGAACGGACTACGGCGCTGCAAGACTGGTCGGCGGATGAGAATGCGGCAGTGATGGGCGCGATCCGTGAATTCTCAAACGATGTATCGTCAACATCGTCCGTAGCAGCAGTAGCGACAGTAGCATCCCATCATAGTAATCCCGTCGCCTGTGTGTAACATTGTACATGCGCACATCATCATCATCATCCATCCATCCACCGTCCCATCATCTACCATCATCCCTCATTCTTGTACTTTTATTATTCCTTGCTTTTGAACGCGTCGAGTTTGTTTTGCACATCCTCCAACATGTATTTGAGTCGTTTATCCGGTGCCGTCAGGTTTTGCATCAAGTCTTTGTCGTTGATGAGCCGCAATGTGTTGAGTGTTGATTGACGAAGTTGTTCGCACTGGTCTGCGGCAAAGCGGATCACATCGTCTGGATGCGTTACTAAAGAAAAGAACAGAACTTTTCAGAGAACTCTTTCTCATATTTTATCCATCGTCTACGTCCATCTTTTTCCCTCCAGTTTCTTTGATCTATTACCATGGATATTTTCAGATGTCTGTGACAACGCCTGTGTCAACTGTAGGTAGCTCTCTATTTCTTTGCTATCCCGATCAAGCTTGTTTAATTTCTTATTCAATATATGGTTCATTGCCTTTTGCTATAAAGTAATATACCTGTTAATATATAATCACTCATAGTTCCTCTTCTTTTTGTCATTCATTTGTTACATACTGAAAGCGCCGCTCTTCGACATTTCAAAAGTTCTTGATCCACAAGATTCTCTTGTTCTTCAGTAACCTTTAAATCCAGATCCTGTTGATGAAAAAGGAAAAAGTATTAGTTGGATTGGACTTGATACTTTGTAGTACATGACGTTCCCCATACATATATCTCTTGTAAACATTTCAAGATACCTTATAGTGCTCCATTGGAATATGATTATTTTCGCTTATTTGTAATATATTGTCGTATAAGTATCGTTCAAACACGTTGAATTTTTTGTCAAGAACCTGCTCCACTTTGCATTCGAATTGACGTATGGCCTAAACACACCAACAGTGATTACAAGTTAAATTATCCGTTGAATTTCTGAGTGATAAAGAATGCCAGGAAAAAAAAGCGAAGGGAGAGTTTAAGAACACTCACACTGTCAATGTTGGCTTGGGACAATCCATCTAGATTTTTCAAATACTTTTCAAGCGCTTCGAGGGCAGTATAAAAGACATAGTTGTATGCATTATAAACATCGTCAGCAAGTTCGACCGGTAAAAAGCCAAAGTATTCAGATAACAGCTCGGTTTTGCTGTATATACGTCCCAGCGATCGTCTAGGGTAATCGTTTAAATTTTCATTAAATGTATTTTGAGTGGGCATCTTTTTGTAAAAGTGTCAGAGCGCGATTTTCAATTTCTTTATTTTCTTCGGTGGTTGCTGTTACACGAGATAGTGTTAGGATTTTCTAATGCACAAAATAGTAAAATGGGACCTCCTCTACGACATACTGCTGTGCTTTTTCAAAAAATTGATGTTATAGCTAAGCATAGCGGCAACGAATACTTTCTTTTACTGAACTTATCCCAACTTGTTTCATTGACTAAATTATGCCGTTTGCAGCAAATTCTTCATTAGGCGATATGCTTGCATATCCTGTTTCATTCAGCTCTACCGTATGAAACGTAGCATATCAAGTCTACAGCTGTTCCATTATCCAATGAAAACGCTACTGCCTAGAGCTTCTGCCTGAAATAGAATGAAGTTGGGCAAATGTTTTGTACCTTAATTCATAATCGACTGGTGAGCAAGTGCTACAGATGAGTCTCTTGGAGCGTTCGATTCGGTCAGTTTTCAATGTATTCACTACTTGCGACAACAATTGTCTATATCACTTGTAAGTTTTCTAATATACGTTCTTTATCTCCACAGCAACGAACAAACAATCAGCATCACCACAATCGTGTACTGGATCTTGGTACCACCCATTGTATGTATATGATCGTCCTACATAGTAATATACAATAACCACTATGTCCTTATCAAGGCACATTGCAAAACCAATACATTTTTTGGGGAGCATACCTTTGAACCATAGTTTTCATGGAAAAAATGAACTTACGCAAACATAAAAACTTGTGTAATCTTAAGAACGCTACGGCGGGAATAACAGGGTGCCAGCCTCTGTCTTTTTAACAGACTTCGTCTGCTTTAGTGTAGAACGGCCCAAGCTGCAAGAATCTGTAAACACATTTATAAACCGAATTCAAGTAACATCGTCTCGCGACACTTGTTATGACGCTGCTGTATGAATTTAGATCGGTCTTTCACTGATTTCATGTTTGCTATCAATAGATAACACTACAAAACACATATACAAAAGGATGCTCTTCACCAGGGGCACAGCTAATCTTAATTTTGTACATAGTGTTGCCAAAGCTTTGTCTTATCACTTGTAACTGTGAAACATGGTACATTTAACACTACCTAAGTCCATTTTTTCACAGAGATAGAGCTATCATATCGTTCCCGCTATCCTGTAAATCAGTTTCGCTACATTCATGCCTATCATTAACAGATCAGACTTACTTTGCTAATCGGCATAATCCGACAAGTAAATGCACTGCTTTTGTTTTTGCCTAAACATGGCTACTACCAAGTACGATCCCACCACGGTTTATTTGCACGCTTTTGTTAATATTCGGACACTTGCGGAAGTTTTGCCCACTCTCACGCTATTAGTACCAAAGTCGAGGCATTGCTCGATAATAGAATTTCTTTAAAAAAAAGAATAAAAAGACAATAACGGGTATTGCGATAAATAGAAGATACTTTGTACGACTTGCATGCACAGTATTCACGATATGGGGTAATAAGTGCCGGATCAGAGTAACACAGGGCTAAAGATTTTGTGCTTTGTGAAAATCAAGCGTCAAAAGTTACGTATCTTCTTCACAGCGTGTAATGGACACCCGGCTTTTGTGATTTATTTGTACGTAATCTCTACTGCTGATAAGTGCTCACGCTAAATAAGCAGCGATAACAGCATTTGGATGAATGATTTGTTCTAGTTTCACTTTGCTTTACCACAACATTGGATTACTCAGATCAAACGAGATCCCGTACTTCAAGTTATGTGTCGTGTGAATTGATTCTTGTTCTTTTCAATAGCAGTAACAAATAGATCATAAGAACTGGAAACTGATTAGAAGCTAGATACTGAGTCGATTCTTCGGATGCACTTGCGTTTCTATCGTGTGTTATCCCCATTATCCTGTGCATTAATGACACAAAGAAACAACGGATGCTTTGCCGTTATTCCTTTTAAGGTTCAGTTATGTTGCCCGCTCGATCCGACCAAAAGGAATGTCAAGAAAAGGCAGTACTACAGATCCGTTGAGAGAAGAGATCATTGATCAGTTTATAAAAGCAGAAAATGGTTCTTTTTCTTGCCATATATTACATTGTTTGGTCTTTTTCTTACATTTTTATAAGCGAGATTAAAACACCATAAATGACACAGAAGGAACCTGCCGTCAATTCCACTCCCAACACTACTACTTCTGCTGCTGCCGCACAGACCTCGGATCATGTGCCCACTGCTACAGCCACTGCAACGAGCGATGATTTAGTGATTTCCTCTGCTGTTGATACAGAGAATGTCACCGCTGCTGACGAGAAGAAGCTCGACCCTGCTGCTACCAGGACATTGCCGATTAAAGAAGACTCCAATATGGTGAAGCGATATGCAAAGCGTTTTTTCCACTCTTTGTGGCAGCCGCCGGCTGAAAAGCCGCCAAGTTTCTGGGCAATCTGTAAACAGTTGAATAGAACCCAATGGATCACCTTTACTGCTGGTACGTGAGCCACATCCATTAATGTTATTTTTATCTTACCCGTGAATGTGTCGTACACTCATGTTAATCACTGGTGTATAATGACTCTACATGCTTTAAATTAGCTTTTCTTGGTTGGACTGTGGACGCGTTTGATTACTTTTGTGTATCGCTGGCCGTTCCTGAAATTGGTAAGTACAGCTGATATTACTTTAGACTACACGATAATGTACTTTTGTGGCTGATTGCCTATTTTTTACCTAATGATGTATATAGCTGCAGACTTTGATGTTATGCCCAGTGAAGTTACCTGTAAGTAGTGAGAATATATGGCAATATGAACAGTAGGCTTTTTTGAGTGCATGACTTGAAGTAAATATATATAATAACAAATCGTCTTTTTTTATTTTCCATTAGCTGCTATTACTACAACATTGGTAAATAATCAACAATATATTTGAAGATACTAGCGACTATCTTGTTTGATCGAAGGCAGCTTAAAGAGATACCTGTATTTACGATATGTTAGATGCTCAGACCAGTTGGTGCACTGATCTTTGGGTACGTGTTCTTACTAATAACTATGACTTATACAGCTCAAAGGTCGTATGATGTACAGTACTGTCGATGCTAACATCAACAATACCACACAGTCTACTAGCAGATAAGTATGGTCGTCGATGGCCACTTATGATCGACATTTTGCTTTTCTCTATTATCAACATGGCCAGTGGCTTCGCGCCCAATCTCGAAGTTTTCATCGCACTTAGAGCTTTATTTGGAATTGCGATGGGAGGAGAATGGGTAAGTATTCGACAAGCAGATTCATGCCGTTTTGCCACCTTATTAAAGTACTAGCTAAAGAATGTTAACTCACTAAACGAAACATTACAGGGCTTGGGTGCAAGCTTGGCACTGGAAACTCTTCCAATAGAAGCAAGAGGTCTATTTTCCGGTATATACCAACAAGGTAAAAACAAGATAACAGCCTTATGACATTGCATGATGACAGCGTACAAGCAAAAAAATATGTCTCTCACACACATAACGTTATCATACCAACAACCTTAAAGGTTACGCGACCGGATATCTTTTGGCGGCCTTGGTAAACTTTGCAGTAACAGGCACCGGATCAAGCTGGCGTATCCTGTTTTGGACTGGTGCCGTGTTTGCTCTTTTAGCCGTTTTCATCAGAATTTTTGTTCCAGAATCACAATCATTTGAAAAGACCCAAGAAGCACGCGAGTTAAGCGGACGATCTTATGTGAAGGAATTGATGCATATGCTCAAGAACCATTATCGACGTACGTCTTTTTCTTTTCATGTATGATATTTATGTGCTAAATTCAGATATGTAATGGCTAATCTTATCAACAAGAAATGTGTGAGCTGACGATAAGTTTAATACCCACTAATTAGGCTCTATATATATGATAATCCTTATGGCATTCTTCAACTTTTATGCCCATGGCAGTCAGGTATAATATATACACACCTCAGATAATTTGGGAAGAGGCTGATAGCATTTTTGATTATTTCGAGCTAACGTAGCAAAAACACCAAATTAGGACTTGTATCCTACTTTCCTTAGGGTTCAGCTTGGTTACACTCCAACGGAACAAACAGCGACTACTGTCATACATAACATTGGTGCTATCATTGGCGGTAAGATTTTGTCGATTATTTAATGATGGAGTAATTTTGTGATGATTGCTTCACATATAACATACGTAAAACTCATTACTTTTGCTTTCCATTTTGTTGACTATTGTATAGGTACATTGGTCGGTTTATACTCGAATTATCTCGGCCGCCGTATCTCTATAGTATTTTCTGCCATCATGGTTGGCGCTTTCATTCCTTTATGGATCTACGGCCCTAATCTGCACAGTCTCCGCTTTGGTGCCTTTGCCCTCCAATTCTTTGTACAGGTGAATGATTTATGCCACGTTTTTAACGAAACAAAGTAAATACTGTATCTTGCCTATTACTAATACATACATTCATGTTCATGTCTCTCATAGGGCGCCTGGGGTATTGATATGATGTTTACTATCACGGAAGTCTACATGGAATAAGTATGCTAAGAAGACGATAATATGCGTGTTTTAGGTATTGTTCCGGCTCACTTGAACGAATTGGCTCCTGCAAATTTTCGTGGTTTGATGCCTGGTACGTAAATTAGCATCTATTGTGTTCTGTGAGTTTACGTCCGTCGTTGTAATAACGCTACTTTACTACGATTAATTATTTGTCAGGCTTATCTTATCAACTTGGTAACTTGATCAGCGCAGCCAGCAGTCAGATCCAAGCTACACTGGGTGAAAGATATCCATTGCGAAACGATGACGGTAGTCTGCAAATGAGAGAAGGAAATCCAATCCCTGATTATGGTACGTTGTTAGTCCATCTATTGCTGCAAACATCAGAGTGTTTTCATACTGAGCATTGTGCTATATTAAGCATTATTATTCTAACATAATTCTGTGCACACACAGGCTACACTCAAGCCATATTTATGGGCGTTGTCGTCGCATGCCTGATCATTACCAGTAAGTTGCTTTGAAACTTTTGTTCTTTTCTTACCCCCAGTAACGGTTTCACCTAATTTGTCATAAGTGTCATATTTAACATCAACTCTACTTTTTTTACCTTGTTACCATAGCTTTGGTCGGCAAGGAAGAGAGGAACAAGGACTTCATGCAAAACATTTATGAAGACGAACACGGTCGGGTGATCGGACAAGATGATATAGATGCTCAAAAAATAGAGCAAGGTCAGCAGTCCGAACCTCCTGCTGCAATTGTTACTGCAGAAGAAGAAGCCGATTCCGTGGTCCATGCATCAAATACGGAAAAAAAGTCGTAGAAACTGGGACATTTAAAAAAAATAATAGCTGTTATATTGAGTAGTAGTATGCTGTAGATACTATAGTCTTTAAAGTAAAGCGCATGGTAGCAGCTTGAATGTATTTGGAAAATAACTGTTGATTAATTCGATCAAAGATAATGATATTACCATACACATATTTTGTACTTTGAAGTGATATAGCAAGCATATCACCGTTTAATCAGTGAACTGTCATCGTAATATAATGAGTATTTTGTAAACGAAAACGCATTATCACGATGCTTCTCGAACTGATGATGATGTACTGACTCTTCCCGGTGTACCAAAGAAGAAAGAGAACATATTTATTTGCGCGGTAATTTCGCAGTTATAATGATATGAGAAGAAGTTTTCAAGTGCACAGCAAGAAGAGCATTGTAGTCTGATCCTTAGAGCGTCCTTGTGGTGATGACGGCGGAAGCATACGGGAGTGTTGTCTAAGTGTCAGCAGAACCGGAAGAACTTTGAAACAGAATAGAAGTTTGCTGAGAATTTTGGAAAAAGCGCCCACGGGTATAGTTTACTCGGATATGATAAGAAAAATGTTTAACGCAAAAACAGGATTCGGCTTTAACCGAAGTCATGCTTTGCTTTTTTTCATCGTATCACCTAATAGAGTACCCATAATGTACAAGGGCATCATTTCAGCGAGTATAAACATTTCATGGACAAGAAAGAAATTTAAACGCTGTATATAATTTATATCAGTATAATAGCCAGCTTCATGCCGAGTACTAATGCTTCAAGGAGCAAGATTTCTAAACCTTTTGCTGAGCTATCATAATACTTGCAAACATAATGCTACAAATACAAAGGGAGCAATATCAAAAAGCGTGGTTTGAACAAAATAGAAAGTTGTTGTACCACTTGAACCAAAACTCTTATTGCACATGAGTAGCGGTTTAGACCGCCTTACAAAGACATTATGCTTCAAGTCTTTTCCATTACTACTGATGTTAATATACGCTGCACTGGCGAAAAGAAGTATGTATGGTAAGCATACTATGTCTGTTAGCAGCAGATTATTCTTGTTAGCAAATCGAATCAGAAAAGATAAAGTTCAACCGCGGAACAAAAAGAGAATCATATGCAGAAATAATGATTATTTTTTTGGAATAGTGTGCTATAATAGAAAAAAAGACTTGTTGCTTATCTTCAACCGGTGTTGCACAGAAGACTAACTCAAAGTTTAACTTCGATGTCTTAGCTCGAAAGGGCGGTTACTCCATTATTCACAAATCTGCATTACATATCCGGGGCTTGTATGTGAATCAGTCGTCAAATGTGACACGAAACCAGTAGGTTGTTGCTCTTGTTACGTATCCAATTTTTTCTATTATATGTACCCAACGTATGAAAGCAACAGCAGCAGCGCACAGTGTCGATAAGTACATAGTAGTCATTACAGCAATATAAGCATGATACAGAGCAAAATTAACGTAGTAAGATAATGATGAAGTAAATGGGTGGACTTGCGCAACAGCTCTACTTTTACTTATTCGCAAATGTGATATAAAACCTGAATGCTATGTATAAATTACCTATTCTTATGTCCAAACCCAGAACGAACAGACAAGAGTTGGCTCTATAGTGAGCATTCATAATTCACAATTGCCGTTTGTAACCTTTCGGACACTTTAATACAACCTTCTAGGACCCTGTATGGTTGCAGAAGGCCCAAACGGTAATCTGAGATCTTGGATAGCTAGTGATGACCGCTACCAATATTGTAGGTATCAGTGTTTTTTCGGCTTAACAAATGCCTCATGTGCAGTCTATGATACTGAAATCCGTAGGATGGTACTGATAATACGAGGCAAAACATGAAACGATTGATTGATATAATTGTGAAGAATGGTAAAGGTGGTTGTTCGGCTTACCAGGCTAACTATTTAATTTACTACATATGGCAACCACCAGCAAAAAAAACTGAGTTACATTTGACATCTCACTTCAATATATACCAACACTTAAAGATTATGATCGCGGCAGGTATGTTGAAAAGAGAAAGGCTAGGATAGCTTATATGATATTTATGCTATTACTTAAATAGCGCTAATCCGATACTTTCAAAAGAAATATAAAAAGGCGTACGTAGTTGTTAGACTAAATAGCACACAAAAGCTCCATCTGCTTATAAATGACTTTTACAACGTTCTGTCAGTGACATTCCCTCTCTTCTTTTCTTGTTGGCGATTGATGAGTATAGCGTAGAGCCACACACCTCATCATTGAGTTTGGCAGTATATTTCGGCATGCGGTGATATAATATGTATAAAGTATTACAGTGGTAGTAAAACACAAAACGTGTGTATGTACAAAGGAGAACAGCTTAGAACAGCACCAGACTTGTCCAACCCATATCTCGATCCTCCCACTCCACGCCATGGAGTTGTAACATCAGCCCTCCTTGACTTTTACCCCTGTCGCCATCCTTGTTATCGTTGCCTTCGTCTTCAAACTGATATTCGATCCAGCACGGTAACCGCGTTGTGCCGCCACCGCCTTTTCGATCCGGTTCACCAAGCTGACTTACTATTTCGTGCGCTTGTGTTTGTGGTGTAAAACCATAAGGATATTCTTTACCAACAAAAGGCTGAAATCCGTCGCGTGTATGACCGTTGTAAATGTCAATGCTGTCGAGAAGTAATTTATCGCTTCCTTTGCGGGTGGGTGTAAAACTTAGTGACAATCCGAGCGATTTGTACGAATAGTACGTGGAATCCGGAAACCGTTTAATGACAGGTTCTGGCAGTGGTTCACTACTCAAGGTGTTTAAGTAATCATGAATGGCTTCGGCATTAGGCGGCATGCCAAGTAATCGGCGCGCTGAAAATGCTGGTGGTTGAATGGGCATGTTACTTTTCTCGTCAGAATAGTCAAAAAGAGAAGCACGTTTTGCTCCGCACAGAGCGTATGTATTATGGTAGTTCCTCGAGTCTGAATTTGACAAGCTGTTTTAATCATTGATCCCCCAGCTGAGCAGCCTATTTAGGCAGAAACCTTATTCACAATAGCATAACATCCTCATGATATGGCACAGGTTGATTATATTTTAATTGTGAAGGAGTACTTGGTAACCTTTGTCAATTCCTATTTTAAGTTTTCATAAGGAGTTGCTCTTTCCATCACTTCACTTTCTGCTAATGTATACTTGTAATGCCAACATCCCTTGTGCGTTCTATCAAGTCAATAGAAAACTTGTTTAGGAGGGGATGAGCTTTGTTGACAAAATTGACTCGGAGGTTGCAAAAGAAAAGAGGGATGACCGTAGTATGTGGGCTGTAACTACGATACTGTACTCATTTTTTGTGTAGCCATGAAGATGCATCATCTTCACGTCATGCATGATGCATGTCATATTAGTACTCTCAACAACACTACTAGCCTTCGTAGCGTCATCATCTTAACGCTCAGTAATTCAGCGTATTATCAACCGCCAGACTTTCCCAATTGATTAGTATGCTTTTAGTTAGTGTTTTATTTCCTCGGGTTTAAAGATGATTGACATGAAAGGCTCTGTTTCACTATGCAACCAAAAAGAATAGGCGATGAGGCCTTATTATTTCCTCTCAGACTGGATTGTTTCTCATCCGCTTTTTGCTAGCTCTTCACCCTTAACCTACTTTGTCTTTCTCTGTTAACCATCATGACCGATGTTCAACATTCTCCTCAATGGTCGGCACAGTCGCCGCCAGTCGGAAGATCGCCGTCGCCCTTGACAACGACCACAGCTGCTGCTACTACAATCCCAGAGGAAGTGCTCAATTCATTGCGACGACATTCCCTGTTCCAACGATCCAAAAACCAACAATTCCTAGAACGAATTGCTTGTAGCATGAATATTCGTACATATTCACCTCATGACATAATCATTGTTGAAGGCGAACAAGCCAAGGCCATGTTTTTGCTGCTACGCGGCTCGGTGAATGTGTGCTCCGCTGACTTTGAGCGAATTTATGCAACCTTGGAGGGAGGCGCCTGCTTTGGTGAAATTGGTCTCTTGTATGCCATACCACGGACCGCAACAGTCATGGCCGCTACACCCTGCACAGTCGCTGTCCTTACAGCCGAAGCTGTATCGGCTATATTACCGGATTACCCGGCTGTTGAACGCATTTTGAGGTTTGAGGCCCAGGAACGCATGTCCATGTTGAATAAGAGTAAAAAAGAAGCAGAGTGCAATCGACGAAGTTCTGGTGCAGTGGATTTTTTTGTCACTTCAAGCGCATACAGTTTTTTGACAAAGGTATGCATTATTCTTTTTTTTTTCTTGATGCTAGAGTGAGTGGACAAAAGCGAATTGAAGCTAAAAGTATGTTCATTTGTGTGTGTGGATAGGTGTCATTCTTTAAGGACTGTCCCGAGGATTTTCTTCATCGAATATCACTGAAGATGGAACCTAGAAGCTATCGACCTAATACGATGATACTTAATAAGGGCGATATTGGTCATGAAATGTACTTTATTGTTGACGGTATATACGCTCAAACGTCTAAAGTTTTGATTTTCCATTTGACGCCTGGGTGCTCTATATGATGTATTGTCAATGAGGCTGCCAAAGCTAATTTTAAGAACTGTGTATTATTTTGCTGTTAGGCACGCTCCAAATTATCAATCGACGGGCAGAAGGGGCGGTGGCTATTGCGAGGTTGGGCCCTGGTGACTTCTTTGGTGAAATTGCCATCCTTCTCGACGTACCACGGACGGCAAGCGTGCAATCGATTACACCAGTAGAATTGTATGTTTTGAGCAAAAAAGATTGCTTACAAGTGTGCCACGACTATCCAGACATCACAAGCCAATTTAAAACTCTGGCTGACAAGACACTCAGAACGATTAATGAGTTGGTAAATGGTTCTTTGACAAAAAAACATACTTTTCTAAGGATACAGGTGACATAAAACATTATTAACAACAAGGTATGCTGTACTGATCAATTAGAGCCTGAAAATTGACTCGTTTGAGGATCAGCAAGTGGATACGGTCTCAGGTAAATCATAAAAAAAGATTAGTAAAGAACTTTTGGAGTCCAGTATAATCGTTATCTGACCTAATTGAACGGTATATCTAGGCGGTGTCGTTTACGTACCAGTGGAAGAACAGGATTATGGTGCATCGTTGGCCCCCATCGACACTACAGCCATATGCAGCACAACGAGTGACCAAGACCCTACATTGCCAACCAACGTCAACCGCCTACGCGACCGTGAAACGCGGCCACGAAGGCCAAGTATTGCCGTTTGGTCAGATCCATCTCTTCTTGCTGCTACATCACCATCGAAACCGGCAACTTCGAAACGACGTTCTGTCACCATTATGGAAGAAACGTACGCATTGGAAGCAGCATCAGAAAGAGACAGATTGACAGCATTGGATACAAGCATCATCGCGCGGATTGCTACTCTACTAGATTTTGCCAGCATGGTTCGCTTCTCATTGTCGTCCCGCAAATTATATCGCACGCTTCACAAACAGCATGTCCAGACACAACAGATAGACCTGGGTAGCAGCAATCGATTAATGACGGACGAAACGATTGAGCTATTGATCGACATGATTGGCCCTCACGTTGAATCATTATATTTGACACACTGCTTCCACTTGACCGACCAAGCTATCACAATGATTGCCCAAAATGCTCCTCATTTGAAGAAACTCGATCTGAATTCATGTTGGTTGATCACGGATCGCAGTCTGGACGCCTTGCGACATTTACGCTGGCTCGATTTATCAAACTGTCGCAAAATAACAGACGCCGGCATGCAACGATTACTCGAAAACAACACCGATTTGCAGCACTTGACATTATCCTACTGCAAGAACCTGACTGATCAAACCATGCTGTATTTTACCAAATACTGTACACGCAATCTCGAATACCTCAACCTGCAGCGGTGTACTAAGATAACCGACCAAGGCTTTGTTTCCTGGCTCATCAAAGCACCAAACTGCTTCACCGCCCTGCACACACTCAACCTGAGCGACTGCAGCTTCTTAACAGACAGGTCGATTGCCCATCTAGTGATTGCAGCCCCGTATTTGAAAGACGTGTCTGTCAGCTTTTGCTGTGCATTGAGCGACTCGTCACTTGAAGAATTGGCCAAGTTAGAGCAACTCGAATCGCTAGACGCAAGTTATTGTGGATCGGCCGTATCGGACGCATCGATTACTACTTTGCTGAAAGGAACAGCTAAAACTATTCGTCGACTCAATATTCGTGGCTGTGTACGGATCTCGGGTATTGGCCTTATCACAGGCATGGAATACGCAAAATCATTAGAGTATGTGAATATCAGTCAGTGTCCTGGTATCAGCCCTCAAGTACGCACTTGTATGTCTGTTTCAGGGCATATCGACAGCTTCTTCCACTGATTGAATTAATAAATATTTATTTTTACGGCAAACTCGCGTTACTCATTATTGAGAGAAGGATATCATCAGATTTGTTATTCGATTGACGCCCATTGTGAACAATTCATCAAGTTTGATATTACAGACCAATTGTAGCATTGTCAATTTAGTAATATCCATAGAGCTTAATTATCGTTCAAAACCGGGGTTTTCATTGTGAATATATACTGCATGGTCTTCCACTGAAGAAAAAACGATACCATCCCTCTCGTCCATCATAATTTCATACATATGATAAGCTGACCTGACGAAAGGAAGGCTCGTTGAAAAGGCCAAATCATCGACAAACTATTTCATCAGCTATATTTACTAGACTTTATATGAAAACGAATGGACTCAGTGTACATTTGATTAGCATAGCACTGTGGTTGACAAAAGAGCGTAGGTCTACAAGGCCTAAAAGCTCGGAAGGACGAGAGTGTGAGGGATGCCCTTACGGAAATCTAATTTTTCTGCTACCGAACCACGACACGCTTCTTTTCTTGTTCTTTTGAAAGAAACGCGATTGAAACAATGACCGATGCACGTAGTCAACTTCTCGGCGTGCTCCACGAAGCTGCTTCGCAAGACTATACACGTATACGACAAGCTGAAGAATTGTTGAAACAATGGGAAAATGAGCCGCGATTCTTTGCTACACTTCAGGTACAAGAAGGATCGCGACCAAAAAGAAAGTTTATTCCCAAACTTGAGATTAGAGAATACTCAAGATAAACTTTTGCGCACATGAGCATATAGGATATTTTCTACGATCGCACGGTCAATCACGACGTACGTGTACTCAGTGGCATCTATCTCAAAAATGGCGTCGGTCGCTTTTGGCGCAAAACTGCTAAAAAGTACAAACGGCTTAGTGGAGGAAACTGTCATAAACCAAAAATAATAGAGCGAAAGCTAACCATGACAATGACGCTATAACACCCGATAGCCCGATTATTCCTGAAGAAAAGGCAGCGATTCGACAACGACTCTTGCAATTCTTAGACGAGCCGAGCAAAAAGGTACACTTATCGATCTATGGTGACTTTTTAAAAAAGGGAACAAGAAGCCTCATAATTCGCGTTTATAAATAGCTGACCTCTCAAAACGCTGTTATCGTGGCGCGTATTGCTCGTATGGATTATCCCATGGAATGGTATGCTCGCAATAGCGGATTTTTGAAGATACACTAGCTATATAATGTACTAATGTTGTCAAGCGAGATAGGCCAGACTTACTACCATCGTTGGTTCAGGCAATCGAGACACCTAGCGGCGACGAACGATTGATCCACGACCGCGCGTTAGAGATGCTGTACGAAGTACTCCACGAACTCAGCACACGTTTCTTATCCGCCAGCCGACGGCAATTCGCTGAAGTTGCACCACGTATTTTTCAAACTGTAGCCAATGTCTATGTTACCTATACCGCAACCACCGTTTCTACTCTTTCAACATCAGCAAGCTCATCCTTGGATCAGCAAGCAGCAGCAGTATTGTTGACAGAAATGGAAATTGCTTCAGCATGCGTAAAATGTTTGCGGATATTGATGGTTAGCGGTATTCGAGACGTCCATAAATACGATGAGACAAAAACTTTTATACAACTCAGCAAGCAACGCTTAGAGGAATACATGAAAGTGCGATTACTGCAACAGCAACAACAGCAGTCCTCTTCGTCTACGTCGGAAAAGATCCAAGAAATGGTCAATACAATTATTGAGGATTATGGTGCGTTGTATCTAGGATTACAAAAAGCACACCCTGTGTCATGTGCGTTGTGTCCAGCTTGGACAGATATTCTGGGCTACTACTGGCAGGCGATTGTGCATGAAGGCACACGGTTGACGGATCGCTACAAGACAGGTTAGTTTCTTATGCTTATAGAGTGGATTGATAAGAAAAGGAGGAGCGCAAGAGCTAAACTAGAATATGCATGTGCGATTATCAGGTCAACCTGTGGATATACCCGTATTTGAACAGTTTCTTTTACAGGGTATGCTACTGGTCAAGGACACAATCAAGACTGCTGCCCAGAACCTCGATGGTCCAGGTAAGATATAAATCACTTTAGTGTATGGAGAAATAAATGAAGTACGTTATTAAAGACATTTGAAACTAGCATCGGAAGTACTGTCTGTTACTGATGAAGAAAAGACGTTGAGCGTGGAAGCAAACAACATAATTAACAATCAGTTTTTGACATCTGATTTTGTTAACGCATGCGCTGAAACTTTGATTACCAAGTATATGCTGTTAACACCGGCTGATATGGAAAAATGGGAAGATGATCCAGAAGGATGGGCCAATGCACTTGATTCGGAAAACTATGAGTTTGAGTTAAGGGTAAGTTTTTTTCGAGGATACCCGTAAGGGAACAGGAACATTTGGGATTTGACTGCTAAAGCATTTATCTCTATATATACAGCCATGTGCAGAAATCACTTTTATGAGCTTATTGACGCATTATCGCGATCAGTTATGTCCCATCCTGCTGGACTTGGTTGAAAAAGTGGCCAGTACGTATATTGTTTCTCGCGCTGAGTCTATATGCATTCTTTGGAAGGGGTCTACAAGGCTGACGTGTTAAATTACGATTATATATAGACGTCTCCACATTTCAAGATTTGCTATTTAAGGATGCAGTTTATGCGGCAGTTGGGTTGGGTGTACAATCGATTTACGGCCGTTTGGATTTCGAAACCTTTCTGGTAAATCGACTAATTCCTGAAATTTCCCAAAAAGGATCAGGGTAATAGCATAATTTCTGTTTTTTTCGATCTGTCAACAATATGAAGCAATTGAACTCATTTGTTTGTTAATGAAACCCTTTCATATAATACATGTAGGTTGAAAATACTTCATCGAAGAATTGGGTGGCTATTAGGTCGTTGGGTGAACGAAGGCATCAGCGCGGACAGTCGTGTGGCAATTTATCAGGGCTTATTGGAATTGATGGTGGGCGAAGATGACATGGTTGTCCGATTAACAGCAGCCCATAGCTTGCGCCAAGCAATCGACGACTGGGACTTTGAAATCAGCATCTTGCTACCTTATTTGGGACCTGCTATGGATTTGTTGCTAAAATTGTTAAACGAGGTGGAGGAGTCGGATACAGTAATGAAATTGATCAGTGATTTGAATACTATCGCCGATCGTACTGGAGAACATGTAGGTTCCCCTTCTTCGTCTTTACTTCACCTTTGTAAAGCCATGATCTCACCGAGTGTGTTTCATCTGCATGTGTGGATTCAAATAGATGGTACCGTATGCACCCAAGATCATTGATTTATTAATACCTCACTGGCAGCGCGCCGAAGACAATCCCTTGTTTCAATCAGCGCTGGTTGTCACGTTTACGAAAATCACTGCAGTAAGTTGTGAAGCAGTTATCACAACTTTTTCTATGGTGAGATTCTTATAAGAGAAGCTAACTTGAGGTTTTACTATTACAGATCCTCAAGGAGCAGTCTGTACATGTGCAACACTTCTTTTTACCCATTGTACAGTACGGCGTGGACAAAAAAAATGTAAATATTCCGTTTTTGGAAATGACAATGCATATATTATGGTTTTTGTTTACTAAGCGTTTGATGTCATTGTGGGTGTATAGAAAGCGCGCGTGTACCTTCTCGAAGATGTCCTTGATCTATGGTGGACGATGCTACAAACAGCTCCTCAAGGGAGCTCCGAGTTATTTTCGATGCTCCCGTCGGCGATCGGTTTGTTGGAATACGACACGGAAGGACTACGAAAAACTTTGAAGATTATTGAAAGCTATATACTTTTGGATGGCCAAACCACACTTCAGGTACATTAAAACTGCTTTACGACCCGTTTTTTGCAGTAATCAGGACACAGATCAAAGTTACTCACATGAGCTCTCGAATCTTTGTAATGAAATCAACAAACAAACGCAGCAAGCTGCACCTCAACTCTTTTCTGGTCTGGCGGCTTATGTTGGCAGTAGCAAAGTAGAAGTGGCATCAAGCATTACATACGTGGGCGAAACCGCATTCCAATCGTGCCCTGTGCAAGTATACGGAGAAGCATTGATCCAGTCAGGGCTGCTGGGAAACGTCTTGGATGTGTTTGTTCAAGATCAGCTCTATGCCCATGCGATCATGTCCTACATGACCCTGTTTGCACGACTGGCAATCTGTGATGCACACTTTCTACTCAACTATCTTCGAATGGCAGGTCAGCAAATGGCAGGCACCACCCCTGATGACTTTGTCGGTAGTGTATTGGAGCGATGGATGGAAAAGGTAAGAAGATTGGTTATAACCTTTGTCGTCCGCTTTGATAAAATCATTACCTTTACTGATCATGTGGGTCTTTTAGTTTGACAATATCGGCCACCCACGAGCACGCAAGTTGAATTGTATAGCACTCACGAACCTATTGCGTACGACAGATGCAGTGGTCTTAGCAAGACTACCCCATCTGATGGCAGTGTGGATTGATATTTTAGCCGAAGTGAACGATGCCGAGGACGAGTAAGTGTGGCTTCCTCGTTCACTTACACCCCATCTCCTTCCAAAGAAAAACAGAGGAACAGTTCAACTGAAAAGAGATGTTGTAGCTTGTTTTTATATGCAGAAGCAGATATGGCGGGTGATATTGCTGAGCTCGATGAGTCTGCGGAAAAGGAACGACGGAACAAGCTGCGGCGCGAAGATCCCGTGTACACTACAAACTTGCCAGAGATGGTGCGGCAAGCACTTGCGACAGTGGAACAACATTATGGAGGAGGACAAGCGTTTCACGAATCATGCTTATCAAAAGTAGATCCTACGCTCTTAGACCAGGTGAATAAGGCCCTGACAAATCAATAAATAGGCTTCATTCACGCCATCATCGGGACCTGATTTTAGAGGGAGCACGTTGGCTTTTTGATTCGTCTTGAAAGGATCATGCTGCCTACACCATTTTCACAAATTTTTAAGTTATTCCTGGGATCATGATTGTTTGTAGAAAGAACTGCTCTTTTTCCTTTCCTTGGCTTCCCCTTCTTTAAACTAACACTATGGACAACCCGGCACTGGTCGTTCAAGTGAGCTTCATTAGCTCATTCGTGTTGCTCATTGCCTGGTATTCTTTATGGCATTTTGGGCGGCGGTCGTCGGAGCGCGAACGGTCTTTTGTTGTCACTTTGCTCGGTAGTTTTGTGATGACCAGTTGCTCTATACCAGTGCTGTACCACTCCTATCAAGCCGGCTTCGCCAGTTTGCTTGTGCCTGGGCAAATGTTCGACTGGACTTTGGTGGCGACATGTTTCTTTATGACGTCGTTGGCCATGGATCTAGGCATTGGCGCCTTGTTCTATCGATCCAAAATCAACTTTCTAACGGGCTGGGTGCACCACACAGTCTACCTCTTGATCCTAGGCTGGGCGATTCATTGTCACCTTACTCGTCTCTTTGTCGCCATGTGTATATTGGAGCTGCCTACTTTGTGTCTATCCATCGGTTGGGTATTTCCGCATTTGCGACACGACTATGTGTTTGCCAGCTTGTATGTCCCTACACGTATCGGCTTTCATGCGTTCATGGTCGTGATAGCTTGGCCATTCAAATCAGAAGCATTGGCTGCTTTGCTGGCTATCTTCCCATTACACTTATATTGGTTTTACGGTATGCTATACATTTCCATCAATCGAACATCGTGTTGAAAGAACAAAGCGATACGCTAACTATTCTGGAGATTTTATAGGATTTATTTGCCAGCAAAAGCGAATCCGTAAAGAAAGTCTCAGTGCAAGCAACAGTATCATTACCACAACAGACTTGAAGCAGCCACTTTTGCAAGCTACCATGTCGAGACAAGAGGAGATAGTACCAGCCGTATCTCCAGCTCTCTTTTCCAATGGTCATAGTTCACGACAGCATAGCAGTAGTGCAAAAACAGCCGTCAACAATTACTCGGCATGCAGCACAATGAGCGGTCGTATTCCTAACGAGCCAGCCGAACCTTTTTGCAATGTACCTGTCGGTATTACTACCTAACCATGCAATCTCTTTTCCACTTTCTCATTCATATGACGCTATTTCTTTCATCATATAACCCCCTTTTGTGTATAGCTATGTAATATAGATGACTTGTCTTATCATTTTACAGCCCATTTTCCGTCTTCCTGCCCTTTTATTTATAAACGACAAGCTCAAATGAGCATAATTGTCCATTTTATTTCTTTCTTACCATGCGAGATTGATGTACCACACCATATAATTATATTGTAAATTTTCCCTCATATCAGCCCCAACAACTACACCCAAATTTCTACACCCTTAATTGTTAAGATTTATGTATAACATCCTTTTATTATGCACATAATTGTAGAGTTTTGCCCACAATATCATAAAATCGAGACGAAGGATACAAAAGAAAATGAAAAGAAGAGAGAGTGCATGTAAGTTAGTACACATATGATGTAGCTTATGAAGACGAAAATGTTCATTATCATAGTGAATTAGTAGTAATTCCCTGTTTAATCTGATTTGGAGCCCAAAAACCTATCGAAATATCACTATATCGAATATTACTATAGCGAGCGGCCACTGCACTAGTAATTGTTATGAGTTCGATAGAGCAGAGTCAAGGTACACAACAGTATTTGCTTTGGAATACACATTATGCTGAATGACTCAGCCAGCGTTTAAATGGGTTGAGTGAAGGTAGAAATTCTCAGCCGGTGTTGTATCAAGCATTATTTTATTGCCGTGTCTGTTGTGTAGCATAAACAATAGACTCTCTGCTGTAGGTAGGGTCCAAAAAATGATAGTATTTTGCTGCTACAGCTCTATGGCCATGTAGACAGAGTGCATCTGAGAGAGGCTTATATACGATTGTAAACAGGCCCACCCACAGCAATCCACACGGGCTGCTCGTAGTTTAATTTGAGCACGGCAAAAGAATAATGAGCATTTGCACGAAACATGCTGTACCCAATCAAACCGCTCATGATGGTTGGCTGGGATCGATGGTTTTGAATAGTCTAAATGGCAAGTTGGAGAACGCAGACTCTCGCAAACACTAGAGCTGCAAATACGCAGCATGGCCATACTGATACATATATCTAATAGAACATAGGTCATATTAACACATAGGGGAAACTTAGGTGCGAAATAAGATCAGTAAGCAAAGATCGTAAGCGAAGGGCTATTAAGCGCTTGAGTAGTGATTATCAGTCAAGGAACATGCACAATCTATACAACTACTAGCACTTTAAGATGGTAGTTCAACTATCCCCATAAAACAGCGCCGCTGCAGGGCTTCTCAATCACCCCCGCTTTTTTCAACTCTGTTTTGATAAATGCAATACTATTCTTTTAAGCATAAGAGAAAGACACGTATTTTATTACAGAAGCAAAGCAAATTAAAAAGAAGAAGGAAAGAAAAATCAATCCGACGAATCGCCGAAAACGTCCGCCAGCCAGGCATCCACGTCGAAAGGCTCTTCACTGTACTGTGCGAGCTCTTCTTGAGCGAGATGCGGCTCCTGCTGCTGCTCCTGCTGTTCCTGTTGTTGTTGTTGTTGCTCTTCTTGCTCTTCTCCTTGGTCACCAGTGCTACTGACTCCGTTGTTGTTTCCATGGCTGCTGTTGTTGTGATTGTGATTGTGATAATGATTGTGATTGTGATTGTGAATGTGATAATGATGACGATGATGGTGGTGGTGGTGGTGGTGGTGGTGATGGTGATGGCGTCTGCTTCTGTTCCTTAGTGTCGTGGACACTTTCGTCACACGACCGTTCTCAGAGCCAGTGAGAATCTCAGTGATTTTCGTGATGATTTTCATGTTCAGAGATTGAAAGAGAGAGAGATTGAGAGAGAGTGTGTGAGTGAGGAGAAGCAGCAGATTTTTTTCTAAGCAGTGCTTTTTAATATCTTTTTTGCTCTTCCGTCAACCGAGCCCGAAAAGGAAAAGATAAGAGTTGACAGCGTCACCTGCCACCCAGCTCATGTCTTGTTACACAAGCACACTGTGGACACACCGACCAACGCGTCGCTCATTTCCGAAGCAATGGCAGTCAACCTGACATTCCCCATTGCATTGTGCATGTTCCAAGCTACACGTACACACTAGTCTCGTCTTTCTACACTGCTATGACGAGGTGTTTTGGTTTACTCAAGCTAGGTCAGCGTGCTTTTCTTCCACTCGACATCAAAGTTACACGAGGTCTACACGATCCAAAACACGCATGAAAGCAACATGTCGGCACGGTCAAAGATGGCGCCATCGTCGTTCCTGCAACTGCAGTTGCCAGCACTAAGGATCGATTAAGACGCCCAAGGGGGATGTTATCTTTTGCGAGATCGAACGACACTCTGATTAGCTCTACACATCACCGCTTTTTGAAGACATGGTCGTTTTGGGGCATGTAAGAGGATGGATTGCTCTCGCCCCAATGTCAAAGCGCCTGCAACTTATGAGCTGCAGCTAAAATGACGAGCCAAGTGTTGATCGCTCCCTTTGAATCTTGTGGTCTGGATGACATTACAGTATGTACGTGCTAGTGTGATTCATGCAAACCGTCTGGTTTGTTTATCTTGGGTTGCACAAACAGTTCTGTCGCAAGCAATTTACTACTTTAACAGCCCACTTCTTTATTGATGGAGTTAACTTTTTAAGGAAGAAAAGCCATGAGAGAGAGAGAGAGAGAGTGAGTGAGGGAACAAGGTGATCAAGTCGAGAACATGACCTACGAAGCAGCCATTTTGGCATCCAAATCTGGAGGGTAGCGAGACGGGGATCTCTTTTGAACAAGGCATGTGAGCTACTTAATGAATGAATTTCCTTTTTCGGGGCATCGGCCATTTGACCTTTGAGCCAATGATGGCGATCCCTCTTTCATCATGACGCCTTTAAGCAACGTGTTGGATGCAGCATCCGAGAGATGCAGCGGCTCATCATTATTCCAAGTCATGGGAAGCGCCTATCCTTTAGCAGCTTACTTTTCCGTGTCTTTACGATGAGCTACAGCCACGCCACTGGCTTTTACGATGACGACAACGACGGCGTCGCTACTGCTCCTTATGAACGCGTCTTCTCCTCCGCCTCCTCTCTCATCATTGACCTCAGTCAAGATGATGATGAGCTCGGTGCTCTGTCGCGTGTCTGCGAGCTGGTCCTCAATGATATCACTCCAGCAAAGCCCTTCTGTCTCCTGTGCTCCCTCTGTCACCGCTTCCACCGCAGCATCATTGCCAGCTCACGTTTGATACCCTCTCACCGAAACATTAGAACCTAACTTTACTTCTATGAATTATGTTGTAGACTCAAGAAAAACTCCAGAAATCTTTCTGAAAAGTAAAAATCTCATCTGTGTCATTTGTTCTCTGCATGTGGATGCAAACAAAGCTAATATGTAACATTGCTTGGCACCGTGCAAACTAACAAGACAAGAGTATCAATTCTTCATCTTATACATAATAAAATCGCGTACTTTGAGGCTATATGCTACACTTGCCCCTCCCCTCCTCTTTTATTTTTTTTTAAAAAAGGCGCCTTGTATGGTACAATATCTGGATCATTTTCCTCTGAGCTTGTAATGTTTGTAAAGAAAGCATCCGAGCGATACGGGAGCTTAGCAGAGTGCTCAATGGATGAGACAGCATGAATTGTTGGTAAATTAAACAAAAGTGACAGTGGTTATTGCGAATTTCTCTTACCAAATTTTATGATTGCACAGTGATTAGGCATTTGACCGTAGTGTAAGTACAAGCTCAACAAATCATAGTACTTGTTTGGATTGTTCTGGGAGTACAACGAAAGTCTGATGTATGCTAAAGAGCATAACAGTTTCCGGATCTAGATTTTTCATGCACAATTGCTAAAAGACAACATTCATGTATGGTCATCAAAAGATAAAGAGAACAGAGCTCTTGTGTGTAACTACTACCTACTACAGCTCAGGAATGCTTCCCTATGTCATTGTGACAAATAACAAAGGCTCATCTCATCATGACTGAATATGTGCAATATGGTGGTTATCGAGATCGGTCACATTATCAAACCAACTGATATATCACATATTATGTAGCACAGAGATTCAATGCATGTCAGTTTCTGAGTGCGGAGAGAATGGATATCTGACAAAGGTGGTAAAGCCTTATCCTAGACGAACATGATATTGTGAGGCTTCACAGAATGTACATGTGTTTTATCGTACATCTGCTGCTTTTTTTTTTCTCCAAGAAATACATCCATGAGCATACAGTACATAGAACAAGTTATCACCCTTCATACAAAATAGATAGCAGCAAAGCTAATGGGCGTTTTTATTAATGCCAAGTTGTACTCAATTTTTCCCATCTCTTTCGGTAAGCAGTACAGTGTATTTCTCGTATATTCTATAGTCGTGAGAGCAGCTGCTGGCGCCTCTTTTTAATAGGCATTATGTTACTTTGATTACGGCGTTTGAAACGAAGAGTAAAAATCACTATTTATTGTTGCATGATAACGTGCACAGCAATGACAATCGGTTTCAGTCAGGAAGTCATCATGATTGTATTACTACGTAGTAAACGCTCCTTGTCGCATGATAAATAGAACAGCAGCGCAAGAAATAAATGTTTTCAAGCTGTCTTTCACCCACGCAATCTTTTCTTTCTTCAATAACTCTCAACACATCTATTTTTTTTCCTTTCCACCGTGCCTCCTGTTTATAACTGGGTTCTCTTACACTGATGTCTCAACAAACAAGCAGAATAGTTTGGGACGAAAACGACACGAACACCGTGATCAAGGCAAAGAATGACAACCCGGACTTGTCTTGGGAAGAAATCTCAGCCTTAATTGACGACCGTCATAACGCTGACAGATGTCGCAAGATGTTCCTTCCTGTTGCGGTGAGTACGAGAAGACAGCAGTTATCTTCTTTGCTTCTTTCCTGTTTTGCTGGTGCTTTTTATATGGTGCTGTTGTTGCTTATCGTCTCATACATGACCATTCTTTTCATAGCCCAAGCTTTCACACCAAATTCCAGTATGGTACCGCCGCGTCGTGTGCAAATGGCTCAGACGCGATCCGCCAACTTCGTATGAAGAAGTTGCAGCAGGTATTCCCGGCAACTTTTCTCCAGAAGACATTGAAATTTTCTGGCAGTACTATGCCACTGACAAGGAGAAGGCTCGTGGTACTCGTGAAGCCGTTTCTGAAGGCGTGCAGACCGGAAGAATCAATGTATGTAGCAAATACTCCTCTTTTATTTTACCGAAAGATGATGCGTGTGTGAGTTGTCATTGGTGCGGGAAAGTCAAGATTTTGTGTGTGTGCTGGCTGGGGAGTGGGTGAGGTGGGGCAGGATGGGTGCTGATGTGTTGTCAGAAAAGGAGATAAAAGATAGTGATTGAACAAAAGAAAAATTATGCAATGCTGATGATGGTGTTCACAGATCCGCGCACTACGTGGTATTGGCACGACGAAGGCAGGTGACACCACCAAAGCTGACAAGCCAGAGGCGCAGATTCCCAAGAAGCCAGAAGAACGTGGTGCGCAAAAAACCGCGAAAACAGGGCTCGACCATGTTGAACAAGGTCCCAGTAAGCCGCAGAAGCCGGAGCCACGAAGAGGAGGATATGTCCGGCCGAGAACTGGCAAGTTTCGTTTCTGGTCGGAAGAGGAGGAAAACACACTGATTGAAGGTGTGGACACGGGTGTCCCAATGGCCGAGATCGCCCGAAATGTGGAGCGCTCCGAAACTGCCTGCAGAGCCAAATTGCGTCGCATGGGTCAAGGAGTGCTGCCACCGCCAAAGCGTCAGAAAACTGACATGGGTGCCGTCCCTCGTCGTTACGATACCCGCTCCAGCGCTGCCAAGCCTAAGGACAAGGAAGCCTAGGTGGCTCTCCCAATTGTTCTTACTTCTCGCTCCTTCTTTGCTCATATCCTTCTGCGAATACCTTCCATTTGTACCACAATAACAACAAAAAACACCTTTTTGTGAATACTTTCTTCCACCACCCAGAAATTTGCATTAAAAATTGATATCATACAAACTTGCTGTAAACACGTTTTCGCTTTGTTGCTTATAGTATACGCTGCGTTCTTCTATTATCAACAGTTGATGCATGTTTCTCATAACGCAATGATGCGACTATATATCATCTTGAGTCTATGTCTTTCCTTTTTCAACCCCGAGATTGATTAATCATACATACGCCAGGATGTTTCATTTCTACATTGCAGTAGGATAATTAGTTTGACATTCTTTCACATACTCTTTCGTATACACTTGAATGTAAGATTATCAATGACTAATGCTAGAGTCCCTATCAATATGCTCTTCTCTTTTCTATCTGTTTTAATGTGTCCATACAGAAGCGGAAGAATTTATCATACTGTATCCAATGTTGTCACTTAGTGGGAACCTGTTGTTGTCGCTTGCGATCTTTTTGTAGAGAAATTATTCTAGAATAAACCACGTGAAAAAAGAAACAAAAGATTGAATGTCCTATATTAAGCCTTCAACCCAGAAAAGATGAAAATATCTATGGTATGCAAAAACCAATCATACCTATCAGCTATCACATATACGATCACTGTTTTCCTCTCCTACAAAAATAGTAAATATATTTACACGTGTTGCTGTATACCAGACGCGCCTTTTGTTTCCTATACTTGATCATTCCTCTGACTGCCAAAATCTGCTATCATGTAGCCATGAATACTGGTTCCAGCTGAAAGCGTCTGTCCAGTGGACAGTCGAGCAAGAGACAAACAAGGCTTGGTTATTAATTTCTGCTGTGTCGTTGCAATACAAGCTGCTGCCGATTCTATTCTTGTTGCTGTTGTCCACGTACAAGTGTTCGAGGAACATACTGTAACGAGAATAGCGTAACGAGTCCAAAATTTGACATTTGAACTAGATTTGAAGCTGGTCAAGCGTGTGCAGCATGTGGACAGCTTACCCACCAGAGCAATGTTCTTAAAGGATGGTCATTTTGAGCCAGGTGATTCAAGCAAAATAGAGCAAATTACTAGGGTAGCATTCTTCTGGTATTTACGTCTTAATAACTTGATTTTCTACGTGCTTTCGTTGCTGTAGTTGTTAAGATTTATCAGGATTGGTTCGCGGATTGGGCGATGCCTAACCTTTTTCTCTTTTGTCGGAAGGCCTGAAAGAAATTTTGGTTTACCTTGCGAGTGGAAGAGCGAAAGCATGGTAAGTTCGATTGCGCATGCACCTCTCCAGTAAATCGTGACCTGCGCCCACCTCTTGATCCTGTACTCCCTGTGACCGCTTGCTGAGTCCTGGAAATGACTCGATAAACCGACCACCGGCCGCGCATAGACGTTAGGTTCGGGGCACGGGTCGGCAACACGTAGAGACTATGCAGTGGAGCGCGGCAACAACTAAACGCGATGACTGTCAGGGTCATGCCGCCGTAGCAGGCAGCCATACGGGATTGGGCAGTATGGTGAGGTCACGTACACGGATAAGAGGAGGCGTCACAGAGAACGGTTAGTGCAAAATATACACAAGAAAACGTCTGAAGAGCGAGCGAGGGGATAATTGCATCTATGATAGGTTCTGGAGCCCAGACGAAAGTGGAGGTTCTCCCAGCAATGGGAGGGTAGGGTAGGGGCCGCGACGATCTGTTCTGGAAATACGTGGTGAGTGATTGATTCAATTGTTGTTTGCTTTTACTATATACTCCAAGTATGGCTTTCTCTAACTTCTTTCTTTGATAGTCCTTTGGCTTGTCTGCAAATAATGCTTGTACCAACTATATATTGACGGAATGTTCTATTACCTGATGATATATTCATACAAAATAAAAGACCAAGAGTCATCCTCGTATCATAATGATGTCTTTAAGTTAATTTTCTAAATCGTCTCAATTAAAGTGTATACTTATACTAGCCACGCGAACACGATATCCTGCCGCCAGCACACGACATCGTCTCTCTGAAGGAGTCGTAAGAATTCTTTGCCAAGTACGACATGTCTTCTTCTCCTACATGGATTAGGATTAAGGAAGTAGATGTCGTTGGGTGAAGCGTACACTATATACAACATATAGGTAATTTCATCACGCAGCAATATTATGAGCCATAAAAATCATGTACATCAATGGAAAATAAAACAGACGACCACTTCCATGGTATGATCACTACGAAAAGACTTTACGGAAGGCAGATGGGAGGGTAGTTTGCATTTGGAGTGTTGTGTCGAACATGATAAATAACACATATCATATCCTTTGAGCCGTCATTAAAGATTGCTGTGATTTCCCTTATAACCTCACATGTGCGGACATCTCCTCATCCAGACAGATCTTGATGCTACACGGATTAGCTATGCTCAGGAAGAAGCTGTCATAATATAGATCATGTAATTCACATTAGCTACTATCTGAGACGTTTACTCGGATGAGCTCAATGAATATGTTCAATGCACATGCTGGTGAGTACTTTTGTTATCATGATAACCCGGTTTTAGATCCCATCGGGTCTCGTTGACTTATTCTGTCTCTTTTAACTGCTGAGCAATTGTTTAGACCTACGCAATGTCTATTTCGAGTATATAGATAACATGGACTTTATAGCGCCGGATTGACCAAGGCGGACATACACACGAGAAAAAACTTGGGATACATACACTGTGCTATGGAAAACAAATTTCAGCAATCTGTTTGACAAGCACGTTTTCCTCGGGGCTGAATCGTGCTTGTCGTACACACGATTTTACAGCACCAGTACTTTGCGAATGCAGTCATCAGCAGTTTGTGATGCTTCAACGGACTCATAAATCTTGGAAACGTATCAGTGTTTCGACCACCATCATCTCCATCACAACAACAACAACAACAACAACCGCAGCAGCAGCAGCAGCAACGCTGGTGAGCAAGAACAGGATTAGAAAGAGCGAGCAACAATAACACCCGCATCTCAGACAGTAGAGCTCGCACAACATAGTGCTGAGCCTTTCGACGTGAATGTCTGATTAGCAGAGGGTTTCGGCATTTCGTCGAACTGATTTTCTTTTTCTTTTTTAATGTCTTATCTTATGGTCGACGGAAGAGTATTGCGCTGTTTGCTGTAATGGAGAGATCATCAACAGGGTTGAGCAGCCCGCAGCGGCACTGTAACCTGACAACAGCTCAAAGCTAAGATTCCCGATTTTTGTGTGAAATTCAAAGAGGTGTGAGAATTGACGGATCCTGCATTTACGTAAACCGTCAACTCCTATGTATTAAGTACATAAAAATAAGCACTGGCTATGGTGTGCTTGCATTTCGGTAGAATACCTTCGCCATAGATTTTATTATACTATAAAAGAGAATACAGAGCGCAAACACATATATAAATACACTGTGGTAAAACACATCATTACACTACCTAAATCATCATCGGAATAAGGTACTCGGCTAAAAATCAAGCAAAAGCATACACAGCAATTACCATGGCAATAAGCTAAGCACTGTCGCATAGAGACAATCCAACCGAGTTGTGTAAAGCACGTAAACATTATACTCGGATGATCCAGCATATGTAAGGCTATTATAACCCGATATGGACTACGCGATATGATGCATAGACGTATGTCATTTGTGATCTCTTAATCTCTTATACGATTATTTACCAAGAAAAGGGAGCCGATGATGCACTCAGAACGGAAGTTTTGTCACCACAAGTTATATTGACGAATTCAAATCAGAAAAAAGGAAAAGTATCTGGGGTATGATAGCGGATAGTGTTATGCAAGTTGTTTATATGATATCTTATCACCAGCATGACTGAGCGTGTATTGGATTGGGTTGGAGTAAATGTGTGCTGAACGCCGTAGCCAGCGTCTTCTCATACGAGTATATGCCCTCAGCGATGCGATGAGGATGTGGGCAGCTTTAAACAAATTGTCAAATTATAGACCAGCATGGCTGTTTTCGGTTAATCAAGGGGTTGAAAGGGGCGTGGCGAGCGAAACAAACCATTAAACTGGTTCTCTCAGCTTAGAACAGCTTGCCTTAAGCGCCGTTGTTGCTGGAGTCCATACCCTCCCAACAATTCTTTCCTTTCGATTATTTCGCGAGCAGAACTACGCGACCACAGAAATGTAAAAAAAGGAAAGGTGCAAAGTGCATCCAAAGTGTGATAAAGCGCGTTGTGATCGTTTACTGTCGTCTGTCATTGTTCCCCGCTTTGTTTAGCACGGAGCTGTGGTGGGCAAAAAAAAATAAGGAACTTGTCGTGCGCTACAAAAAAAAAAAAAAGCGGTAAAATGTTTATAAGAAGAGTGCGAGAAGAGAAAGATTTGTTTATTGTGTTTATCATTTTCTTATTTGTGTGTAATAAATAATAAGTAATAATAATAAAAAGTTCGTTTTAATTATCCCAACATATACCGTTGGCATCACATGCACCCGAAGGTGCACGATCGGCCGGAGTATATGACCACATTCCCACTGGTATGTATTGCAAATTTCTTCAGGGCGGACCACTGAATCTGCCGATCATCAGAAGAATTATGACAATAGCCAGCACAAGCAATGACCCGATCATGGCACAGAGCAGTGCATCTGTACTACAGACCAAAGCTGTACCAAAACGAACTGAAGAGAAGAGAAAAAAGAAATCGCTTTATATATAGGCAGCCAGGGGGACCACGGGAAAAAGGCTGAGACCAGGACCGACAGAGGCAAGACCAGGACCAAGGGAAGAGCCAGAGCGAGGGGAAGACCAGAACCAAGGGAAGAGCCAAGAGAAAGACCAGGAGGATCCAAGGGAGTGAAGGGAAAAGAAAAGTGAAGGAAAGAAAGAGTGAAGAGAAAAAAATCAAAATGCCCTGGCGTATTTATGTATTTTTTTTTTGGTTGTAAAAAAACACGTCCAGGCCCGTGCTAACAATACAGGCAGCAATAGCAACACGATCACACTTTTTTTTGTTACTTTCACACTTTTTTTGTTACTTTCTGTGGTCGCGTAGTCGTGTTTGCGAAATTAATCGTAACGAAAAAAAATGTTCGGAGGGTACGTGCCGAAAAACTGGTTTTTTTAAAC